TTTACGTTCTATACTATCTCTTTGCTTGAGATTCTAGGTTCTTTATGTTAAAATATCCTTTTGCTAACGACTTATCTTTATGCAGACATTAATTGATTGTATGCAATTTTATCCAATCATTTTTTTATTAGTGTATACATGATGTATCAATTTTGTTAACTAAAGAAAAATTCTTTCTGTTTGTTATTTTCATTTTCTTCACTGAGCTTCCCGTAATGTGTTTTTTAATGAACTATGAATGAGAGTAGCTGTTGCTTGCCTGCATGTTTGCAGCAACATATATGAATACGTTTGGTAGTGCATTATTATCTTCTTAATCCAATTTTTTTATATATTTTCTGTGGAAAATTTTTAGTTTTTTAATTTTGAAATATCAACTGATTCTACTTTTCGACAATCTAAAGATTAATAACTTACATATAATGCAGGTTCAAAGTGACCATTTTGAGGAATTCTTTGCTCCAGAACTTGATAAACATGGGTATCAAGCACTATACAAGAAAAAGACTTCAGAGGTCTTATTTCATATTGAACTTCTTCAATATTTGTTTCATGTTATAGAGCTTTGTCTTCTATATTCTAACAAAATTGTTTGTTCAGGTTTATAGTGGCAATCCAAATACTCTTGATGGTTGTGCTACATTTTTCCGCAGGGACAGGTTTTCACATGTCAAAAAATATGAGGTAGCTGCACTTGCAATGAGTACTGGTATGCTGATTGATGTCATCTGAAAGTGTAGGATTAACTTGATATCTGTACTCAGGTTGAGTTCAACAAGGCTGCACAGTCTTCATCAGCTGGTCAGAAGAAAGTTGCTCTGAGTCGTCTGATAAAGGTCATCATTTGGCTCTTGTTTGCAGGACCCTTTCTAATTGCAAGTGTTTCCTCATTCTTATGGTTATTTATGTATGTAGGATAATATTGCCCTTATTGTGGTTTTAGAAGCAAAATTTACGAGCCGTGTCTCTGGTAATCCTGGAAAAAGACAGCTAATTTGTGTGGTCAGTTTTCTTATCTTGTCATCCTTTAAATTTGCATACTGTGTAAGTAATTGCTATCTATTTTGCATATGGATATGCTGTATCGTGTGCCTAAAATGTCATGTATTTACAGTATTAATGAGGCATAAGCTTGTTAAGCTTGTAAGGAAGACATGGTTTTGTGCTTCATTTTGTCATATTACTTATCAAAGTTCCTTTAAGGGTCTGCTTTTTTTGCAAGAAAATGGTGAAATTATTTCCACAGCAAAAGATTTTCCAAAAAGCCAAATACCAGGTGTTGGATTAAAGGAAAAGGTTCCATTTTCTTTTTTGGCATTGTTGAAGTAAACTAAAAGATAATGAAATGAAGGATTTTGTGGGCTTATGTTTGTTTTCAGAAAACTAAAAGACATCTTTTCCTAAAAATCTGGACTGTAGTTGCAAATGTTCATGTTTGTATGTGTATGTGTTTTCCCTACCAAAACAAACATCAATAATGGCATTTTTCTTAGGGAATGACATTGTTTGTGGAAATTGTGAATCCTCACAATGGTGGTCCTAATATTTTTCTCTATGGAATCATTTGCTTGGAAGAACATTTTTATTTTGGTGACTTGATGGGTTTTTCTTACTGGATTATTTTTTTCATTTGGTTTGCCACTGTAACCCTGCTATAACAATTTTATTTAGCAAATGAATCATTTTAAATGGTAGCTATGGTTAGAGCCTTCCTTCCTGTTGACTTTATTCTCGTTGGGAAAAAATGTTTTTTTTTTTTTTTGCACTCTTATGTTTTTAATGTGCTAGGAACTATGTGCCATAGATTGAAGTTGATGCCTAAACTTGTTTGCATATTTCTTTTCAAGTTGCTTTCAGAACTGCCAGTTAACTATTGATGTTCTTGACACACATGCAAGATTCTATAGGTATAATCATTTGCTTTTGGTCATCCATGCAGGCAAATACCCATGTAAATGTTCATCATGAACATAAGGATGTTAAACTTTGGCAGGTTTTCATTCTATCCAGCTTTACCTTTGTAGCACATACTGCTGCATTTGTTTTCCTTTTAAATTATCATTATGATTTTTGTCAATGGGATGCTCTCAGGTTCATACTCTTTTAAAAGGATTGGAGAAAATTGCTGTAAGTGCAGATATTCCAATGTTGGTCTGTGGAGATTTTAACTCTGTCCCAGGGAGGTCTGTGGATATTCTTTTATCAGTTTCTCTTTTTGCATGAAGTAAAATTGAAGTATCTGAATAAGTATTATGGATGTAGTGCTCCTCACGCACTTCTTGCAAATGGCAAAGTTGGAACGTTGCATCCAGATTTGGCTGTAGATCCCCTTGGGATTTTGCGCTCTACAAACAATTTAACTCACCAGCTTCCATTGGTAATCATCATAATTATCTATAGTTTTACAAACAATTTACTCTACAAACTATAATTTATGTTTTTACATAATCTGTAAGCTCTTTTGGTGTTAACATGTATGCACATGCGACAGGTCAGCGCATACTCATCATTTGCAAGAATGGCTGGAGTCACTCCTGGTTTAGAGCAACAAAGGAGGAGGATGGATGCCTTGACACTCGAACCTTTGTTCACAAATTGCTCCAGGGATTTTGTTGGGACTGTCGACTACATATTCTACACAGGTTTGCAACTTGTCCAGTAAATCTTTTGCTTTATTTTCATAGTTGGTGCTCAAAACTTTGTCACAGTATGATGTCCAAATTGTCCTAAGCCATCTTGCTTGTGTTTTCAGCGGATTCTCTATTTGTGGAATCTGTATTAGAGCTCTTGGATGAGGAAAATTTGCGGAAGCACACTGCAATACCTTCCCCTGAGTGGTCATCTGATCATATAGCGCTTCTAGCTGAATTTCGCTGCAAGCCTAGAATTAGATGTTGAAACTAGTGGTAAGTGTGAATACCGTTTTCTAGGAGGTCAATTTTTTTTTTCTAAATATGCTGTGTACCGGCATTTAGTTAGTTTATCTACCCTCTGCATTTATGCTGCTATCAAATATTATTAAAGTTTCTTGTACTATATAATATCCTGTTGGATATTGTTGTGGCATGGGATATTAGATATTGGGATGAGGTAATCCTCGGGATGTTCAGAGAGAACCAATGGGTTGATGAAATTTTTTTACAAATATCAAAGTTTGTTTTGTGTAAATGAAAAGCTAAATTTATAGATTTGCTTATAAGGTTCTAATTGTAAGATTGGCCTCAGCAAATTATCTATCAGCATTTTGGTGTCAGCTAACAACAAGTATCATGTTTTTATGCTAGATATGATGTTTTATTGTGTCATTTGTTATGCTTTCCAGTGCCATATTTTCTTATTCATGCTAATTTCATAGCTGCTGCTTGCTTAAAAAAGTAATGCTATAGTGATCTATGAATTGTCTTGATTTTAACCTGTATAATTCATACTTGTATGACACTATGAGATGATGATTAATGTCATTTATGCAAATGACTACCACATAAGTAATTTCTTTATGGGCCACATTTGGTTACTGGGAATGCTACAAAAAGAGTTTGTCCTTTTAATTTTATCATATTAGTATTGCAAGCAACTAATATGGTATATTTTTCTTGAAGGTTAAGCGACGAGGAGGCTATAAAGTCAAGTCAATTCAGGTTTTGAAACATTGTACATATTAATATAGAGGGAATTATTGGTGATAGAATTGAAGATATAGCGACCAGACTCTTACTAATTTATCATTGATATAGAAAACTATATTGAAGATGTAAAGTGAGCTATAAATGAGAGTTTTTTTTCCTCTCGGACATCTCTTCTTTCATTCAGATTTAATTGCTATTTTTATGTTTGAAAAACGCAGTGTGTTGTGGTAAGAAATAGGAATGATATTTGAGTCATAGCCTTTTTCGTATTTTGATACCCCCACCCGATCAGGTCTTTAATCCTGATTACTATGGTTAAAACTACTCGCCTACTGCTAATGGTTTAGATCGAGAGGGCTTCCCAACAAATGGCAACTTTTCACAGATACTTTTTCTGGATTTGAGTTTCCTGGTTGTTACTGTGTTCTTGCCTTTTTTTTTTTTCCTATTGTCATATAAATTATTCCTAGATAAATTCTTCTTCAATCTGACAAGTACACGTAATTATATTTATTGTCAATGCAGATCGATATGAATATGTTAATCTCTTGGTTAAGTTTGAGAATACATGTTGGTATACTTGGGAGTCTTGGATACGATAAAGCTCGCATGTAAACTACTGTTATTGTTTCTAATCAACATGTGGATGATAACTAATGGATTCTTTTTGGATGCATTTATCCATATCGATCTGCTTAAGTTGGCTTAGGGTATTAATTAATCCAGTGCAAAAGAATGAGCTTCCTGGCGCAGAGATATAATAATATGCAACAAGCCTCGGAGGAAGAGACGACGAACATGTGCGACACGAGGAACGCCGGGATTCCCTGAGTTCACGTGGTACCCATATCGATCTGCTTGAGTTGGATTAGGGTATTAATTAATCCATTATAAAAGAGATATAATATACAACGAGCCTCGGAGGAAGAGACGACGAACATGCGCGACACGAGGAACGCCGGGAATCCCTGAGTTCACGTGAAACACGAGCCTCTCCGGACGGATCCGCTCCAAGCGCCTTCCGGAATCCAACAGCATACGCGTCGGCCGATCACGGTGTTGTCGCGGCCATCTCTTGCTCCGACCTCCATAGGGGATCCCACGTCGGCATGTCCTCATCTCTGGTGGGTTCCATATGGACTCGAAATTGTTGCCGCTTCGAAGTCTATCCGTTTGAAAATTACCTGCGTCCTGATTGAAGGAATAGGACTTGGGCCCCACCCAAACCAATGGGAGAGAAATCGAGGATAGGAAGACGGGAGAAAAATTGGGACCCACCTGCGAGGTAGTCAATTCGTCCAACATCTACTCAGGTAAGAAGAGCAAGTAGAGTCAGAAAACTATCGAGTACAGCTACGTAGCATGTATCTATATATAGATGCTCTCCTCATGGAACCATTACCCACCAAACAATGGCGAGCCGCCTCCGTCTCTTCTCCGCCGCTGCGCTACTCCTCGTGGCCGTCCTCACCGCCTCGGCTGACGACGCGCACGACGCGCTCCAGGCCTTTGGGCTCCCCAAGGGGCTCCTTCCGGACTCGGTGTCGAGCTTCTCGCTCGCCGAGAATGGCAAGTTCGTGGTGGAGCTCAGGGCGCCGTGCTACGTCAAGTTCACCGACCTCGTCCACTACGGGAAGACCATCCGGGGTCAGATCCGCTACGGCATCATCTCCGAAATTTCCGGGATCCAGATTAAGAAGTCCTTCGTCTGGCTTTCCATCTCCGATATCGTGGCCCACCCCGCCGACGGCACCGTCGAGTTTATTGTGGGCTTCCTCTCGGAGTTGCGTCCTGCGACGCTGTTCGAGAGCGTCCCGCATTGCAGGGTCAATGCCTCCCCTCGTGGCGTGTTCTCACCGGAGGAGTTGCTCCCGCTCCCGGTTTCGGAGGTCAGATCCCTTTGCCTGTTGATTTCTCCTCTTCTTTGAATCACTTTTGCTTTAATTTAGGAGTAAAACCTAGAAATTAGTAGCAGATTGACGGCACTGAGCAAGGCAAGAGGTCGGATCACTTTTCCTTCTCCTTTATCAATTGTTCTTTTGCCTATGTACCCTCAGAATAGGGCAATTTCCTTTAAAAAGGAGACCCATTTCATGGTTTTCTTCACTTAGAGCGCCCCTTGTGCAAATAGAGTCTCTAAAAGTCCAGCTTAAGTGTCATTAAAATGACACCATTCTACACAAATTGACCTGATAATACCAAGACTTGCTCGCTTCTTAAGATTGAGGGGGTTAGGGGTGACCACGCCAAACCAAATCGGGTCAACAATTCGACGCTTTCGAACTAGATCGGAATCGAAACCGGGCCATATGGTTTGGATCTGGTTTCTAGAAATTTGAACTGGAATTGGAAATGGAAGGGTTCCAAACCTGCTAAATATGAAAAAAAGGGGTAAAACACAAACAGTTTTTGTAGTGGTTAGTGCTTTGGATCTAACTCTGAATGTCCATGACAGATCATACATCTTCTTTTGAAATAGAAAACCAAACTTAGATCTTGGATTCATATTTCACATATCGATCTCAGTATCTTATTCTCTAATGCAATCTCAATTTTCAATGTTCCAAATATCTTGGGGCCACTAGTTCATACTGGCAGAAGGCCTATTTATTCAAATAGCCGAGACTAACTTAATCTTCTTCTGCTGGTACCGATCAAATATTTTTGTTTTCCAGGTGTAAGTGCGAGATCCTCCTCAGTGTTCGGCCTTTCGACGAACTCAAGCGAAATATGTACTTGAGGAATAAGTTTGAATCATAATGTGGTCTATGTTACTTGTATCTGTTTCTGGAATTACTGCTCTAAATAGCAAAATATAAGCCTTTTCGCCGTTAGATTTACCTGTTCTATATCTACATTTTCTTTTGACAATGTTGATGTCAGCATCACAAGCAGATTTACTAGCGCCATGTTATGAGAACATCAAAAAGGGCAGAACACCACAATTCCATTATATCTGGAATGCTGAAAGCAAGCTGGTATCAACAAGACAGACTGCAAGTGCTTTGATTCTCTTTTCTTTTTCCTGTAGTTTCCTTTTATGTGTAATATGGACTGGAATCATGTTGGATGCATGAGACTGTGAAATGTTGGAAGAGATAATAATATTTGGGTGAGACAGAGATATGATTGAGAAAAGTTAAAGAGTCTAAGCTCATAATATAGTGCTGGTGTTCAATCTATATATGATTGTTTGACTTAGATCTGAATATCAGAAATAAAAGTCCAATAAGAACTACATGCTGAGCATTTTTGTAGTCTAAAAATGATTGATGGAAATGAAATGATGAGGCTGTATTTTTCTTTGCTCAAATTTACATTGAAAGTAGTATTTCAATTTCATATATGTGAATATTTACTTTCTATTCCTTTTCAAAATGTTAAATTTTACCCCCAAAAAAAATCTGAAAAATTAGGGAGAAAATTTTAATGATTTAATCTGTGTATAATTTAATGGGAAGAATATTCATGCAATGGGCCCCAAACAGTTCGGGCATTGTTATTTATTTGGTGTTTAATTTCTTTTTCGATTTTTGTTTTCTCACACAAGAAAATAAATAAATAAAAGAAAACAATATAAAATCTTGAAATCTCTGTTTCCCTCTCTCTCTCTCTCTCTCTCTCTCTCTCGCGATGTGCCGCCGAAGCGAGGGAGCTCCAAGCTCTTCGCCGTCCCTTCTTCCCCTCTCTCCTCATCTGCCAGAGCATCGTCGGCCGGGACGGCACCTTCCACACCGATGAGGCCGTCGAGTACGGTGCCGAGATGGTGAGCCCGCCGCACAAACCCACCTGTCCTTTCCGAAAGGGCTTGGTGTGGTTCTTTCTTGCGGTCTTGATGGTCACTGTGGATCTTTGTTGTGTTCTTGATGTCCTCTCTCGACTTTTCTTGGTTTGGATGTCGTCGTGTCGCACAAGATCTGCTGCTGATTCCCGATTCCTCTCGTTTATTGTGGGATTTTAATTGATCTTCCTGCTGGGATCTAGGTTTCTTGAATGGCTCGTAATTCTTGCTGTAGATCATGACGTTTTTATGGTGGCCTTCGGGATTATGGCTGAAACCCCTGAAAGCGAACCAGGATCTTTGAAGGAGGAAGGAAACCCCCTATCCTGCGTGTACGAGTTCTTGATGATCACTGTGGATCTTTGTTGTGTTCTTGATGTCCTCTCTCGACTTTTCTTGGTTTGGATGTCGTTGTGTCGTACAAGATCTGCTGCTGATTCCCAATTCCTCTCGTTTCTTGTGGGATTTTAATTGATCTTCCTGCTGGGATCTAGGTTTCTTGAATTGGCTTGTAATTCTTGCTGTAGATCATGGCGTTTTTATGGTGGCCTTTGGGATTATGGCTGAAACCCCTGAAGCGAACCACGATCTTTGAAGGAGGAAGGAAACCCCCCCTCTTGTGTGTATGTGTTTCTCCGACCGCTGCTCAAACCACTGTAGCATTGTTTCTTTTACTACTGCTATTAAACATTGCAATCTAAGCCTTTTCCTGATCTAAAAAAAATTAAAAGAAATGAAATGTTGAGGTCCTATTTCTTCTAAAGATTTCCTTATTTAAATCTACATTGAGTTTGTAATTTCCTTTTCCACAGGTATGAATATTTACTTTTTTGTTCCTTTTCATAGTGTTCTTCATCACCACCAAATATTATATGAGAATTACAATGATAATAATAATAATAATGTCTCATCTAAATCATCCCAACATCGATAGGTATAGTAGCCCAAGGCAACATGGCTTGTTAGCCTAACAAATATTGTAATAAGTAAACAAGTTCAATATGATTGTTACTGATTCACCGTTTATTGTTTATTTTCATCACATCTCATTATTTTACATCAAAAATCATATGAGAAAAATCATCTTGTTTTCTATAAATTAGGTGATAGTCATGAACAGGTAATACAACTGAAAGCCCTTGTGCGAGCGAGGGTTAGCTGTTAACATTTCTGAAGATTAATGTATTTGAGGAAGAGAATGTCTGATCTTAAAAGAGGAGACAAACTTTATTATTGTGAGTTAACTTATGGCTCGGTAATTGTAGGACTCTATCTCGTGCACTTTTAGAGTTGTTCTTTGAGAGAACTTATCCAAACACACAGTTCTGGGAGGATCAAAGTCTTACACAGGGGTCACATGAATTCAGGACAAAGTTGCTTTCATATAGATGTTTGTATGTCCATTATTTTGGTTTACCTTGCTTCTCAGTAAATTTTATTCCTAAGGTTTCACAGAATTTGGTTTGCAATATTAGTTGCCATAAGATTAAATGTCATTTGGAGCATTTTGTTTTGCATTCTTCAAAGGTGTAAGAAATGACCACCAGTTATACATACAGTACATTATTTAGTTATTATAGGTAACTTGTTTCACTTTTCTTAGTAGACATGTAGTAACTCGGTGAACCCTTAAATGGAAGCTTTATGTTTTGGCGAAGCCATTGGAGAAATTGTTGGACTAAATAAATAGTATTTATGGTTTGTAATATGTTTCTTGCTGATCTCAGTTGGAAGTTTGATGGAGCTCCAGATTTCCAATGTACCTCTCAGCCAATGTTTAGCCTTTTGGGGTTAATCCAACCCATAGTCACCTATTCTAACTGATCTGAGTCTTAAAAATCCAATCACTGATCTCGAGATTAATCTTGTAAACCTTGCTAATCAAGCTCTAAGGTTCTCAATTGATAGTATCATCACGGCAGGTTATACTTTTTTTTTTTCTGGGACAAGTCCCACCCTTTTTTAAAATGCACAATCATATAGTTGATAAACATGATTAACATCCTTTTCTTCAGGTTTTAACCAATTAAAGGAGCTTTTTATTCTCTAAGGTGAAAATCTAGAGTCTCAGTCTTTTGAATGTGACTGCAACAAAGGATTAAAAAGTTGCTCTTTTTGATCACTTTCTGAGGTTCTATACCATGAAAAGTTATATTTCTTTTCACGACTTTATTTTCTTACCTAACACTTGTATTCACTCTTTTCTTGTTGTTTCACTATTGCGATAAAATGTGTCTGATGATTGGTCTTTATTGCTAAGGCTTGTTAAATCATTTTGAAAATTGGTTCTCTTTGTTTTAGGTGGAACAAAACACTTTGGTCTTCCGGTCTTCAATACTGTTGCTGAATGGCTGAGACCAAAGCTGATGTGTGAGCTATTTATGTTCCCCCACCGTACTCTGCTGCAATTATGGAGGCTGAGTTAAAAGATCGTTGTGTGCATTTCTGAAGGAATTCCTCGGCATGACAATGGTGTCAGATCTAATTGCTCCTATTGATTCATCTTTTATCTCATTTTTATATTTGTAATTAATTAAACTTGTTGATCAAATTTAAAATTATTACTATTTTGGAAACTTGTCTCTCTCACGTTACCGTGGATTATTAATCAGTAGCTGTTCTCTCATGCAGCAAACTCTGTTGGGTGACTGACACAAGATTAAAACCAGCCGAGGGTGTAGAGCAGCCAGCAACCTTTGATGGTGCTATGCGGGAACGTTTACACCCAAAGCGGTCTGGTCTTTTTTAAATTACACCCCTTGGCAAAAGGTCTTTTTTTTTTTGCTTCCCAATTCAATTACGGACAGGTACGAGCCACGTAAATTATTGCTCCATAAGATGGCATGTGTCTTGGGCATCAGCAACTAAAATTTGGTCTTTGCGTGCTTTGAAGTCTGTTAGGTAACAAAAGAATTGAGCATACAAAAAGAATCCTGGTTGCAGTAATCAAAAGTCAAATAGCAATAAAACATCCTAACTTATAAACGCAGCTGTCATACTTACAACCCCCAAAGTACTATCAAGGAAAACCGCGTCAACCATAAGCAAGCATTTCTTAATAGCAAGAAACGAATTCTTTTCCAACATGCAACAAAATCATAGCCCACACCAACCAAGCATGATGGATGGATCTATCTCTGTAAGTTACAACATATCAGTATCACTTGTCTACAACAAATACAAGGTGGAAAGCTACTAGAACATGCTCGGCCTACTAGTTTGGCCGAACACAGGCAGCCCAATCAAGTCCACCCTCTCCCCTCTCTCCAGCAAGACCAAATGGCACAAGTAGAATTAAAAATCAATAATAGAAAAAATATATATAAATTGGGGAGAACATAATGCCTTCAACATGATACATGCGGCTGCCGCTGCTGCATCGTAACCGTGTTGCCACCAGCCATAATGGATCTCAGTTACACGTCAATAAAGGGCAAAACTTACGGCCACATTATACAACATATTTGCCATTAGATCTTGATATAAGAATGCTAATTATGAGATCTTGAGAATATATTTGCAATCATAACCTCACGCAGCAAGCAGCACTTGCTGTCAGACATCAACAGTATCCCGCCGATATCTGCTTAAAGAAAGTAGTCAGGTGTTCTCCGAGTCACATCGGGCTCTCCTCTCCTCGGCGCTGGTTCAAACTGCAACAAAAAGACCATATCAATATAATAAAATGGACAACCAACCAACTCTAAATGACTCACAGGAACAATCCCTCATCGACTACAAACATCACTGTTAATAATTTGTTGTTGAGAGAGAAAATACATGAAAACACCGACCTGGATAAATGTCTGCCCTTTGCATTCATCGACTTCCATGATGGAAGCCATGTTGCCACAACGATAACAATAATTTGGTGCACTAAATATGGTTACCACCTTTTGTTCCTGTCAAACAGAATCATTATCATTAACATTTTGGATTCCCAAAACAGAAATGCACAAATGGATATATATATACTCATCATAGTTCAGAAAAATACATGTCCCCAGTTATATCCATCCATAACCAATTGGTGAGCTCTGGCTATCAACCTAAGGTTATTGGTATGGTTGAATTGCTCAGATATATCCTGTAAACATCCAAAATGGTTTAGTGAAGACTAATACAACACAAGGACAAGAATAAGAAAAAAAAGAAGTGACATACTTGGCCAAAAGTATATCCAGCACCACGGGGAGAAATGCCCCAACCACATCTATCATCAGGATCAGACCACAAAAGGTCACACATAGGACCCTCATGAGGAACTTCTTGAACCCGATCAAAGCTCCTGATGCTATCAAGAGTCTCAATAGATGGAGATAATCCACCGTGCAGGCAGAAGATTTCTGACTCAACCTGGTATGACAAGATTCTCAGAACCACAATAGTGCCACCATGTCTCCAGAGCAAAATGACTCGTACAAAGATCAACCATCCATAAGAGAAACCATCAAACATAAGGACTACGATATCAAAAATATTCTACATTTTAAAATTGTAAAAAACATTAAAAACATTTTTTTTTTAAAAAAACTCAAACCAATCCTCATTTTGATGTACCGACTATTCATATTTAGTGAAGTTTCGCATAAAGAATTCTGAACAAGTTCTCGTGTGTAGACTTCTTGTATGGAAATATGATAGCAGCTTAGAAAGGTTAAGGCTCACATTGACAGCATTGTAAAATTATTGTGGACAATATGTTGATGAAAATATCTTCAAAGTTAAAGCAACTTGAACAAGCTGCTTTTATGAAGCTAACCACCTGTGATCCTGACCATCAACATAGACAATAACTAATCCCTTAAAACTTAAGGACAACCCAACCAATTAACTATACCCCAAAAATATCTCCTTGCCCCACAAAAAGAAACTTCCTCCATATCATTCTAATAAAAGTAACCATTTCATCCACAGAGAGAGAGAGAGAGGCATCCGTCACAAACTGATGAACAACATACATTAGAAGCCATGCAACTACCAAAATAACAAAATGCACTAAGAGTACAAATGCTACTTTATCTGAAATTAGAAACTTCAACATTCACATCTTAAACAAAGAATTATAATGTGAGTGAGAATACAAACCAATGCCGTCAATGGGAAATAATCAAAAAGGTCAGTGAAGATCTTCCATACATTTGCATTACCATATCTGTAGAAAATAATATAAACAAACTTTATGAGTGTTGATCAGAATTGCTTGACTTCAAATGTAGAACAAGAAGGTTAATATGGCATGTCTCACTTTTCAAGCACATTCATGACTGCAAACCCAAATATAACCACACTATTACTAAACTCTCATATGATGAAATATTCATCATGTTGATTCTTTATACGTCAAGCTTACTTATATCTCATCCTCAAAATATCTACTAGCTGAAAAAAAAGTGAGGATTTTCCCTCTTTCCGGTATGTGTGCACTTTGAACCTTGATCATCTTCAACTGTATCCTTGGTCAGTTGGCTACCTTGATCATCTTCAACTGAATCCTCTTCAGTTCTTCAGCAAAATTTACCCATTCAAAGCTTAACATAAGACCAGTATACAAATAAATCAATAAACTCAATATTTGTTCAGGTTACCTCAGAAATTGGACAAGAACACACATATGTTCATAGTCTTTAGAAACTACGGCTCCACTTGATATTGACTATCATTGGTCATACTTAGTTGCTAAAGGCTAAATGTATGCAATAAGGTACCAACTGTTCACTCTGGGCTAAAAGAAAACCAAAAGAAGAAAAGACTTCACATGTTTCATCATATTGCCTCACATAAGGAAAGAGTGATTGATCCTTACAGTCTTAGATACTCCAAGAAAAAGAGCAAGAGAGAACTTAAAATGTTTCATCATAAACCTTAAATTTACATTTTACAAGATAATAAATAATTTATTATACAGTAATAGATATTATAAAGGTATAATATGTTACAATGATAGAATTAGTATATATTAATAAGGAATAGCATATACTGCATGATAAACAATGAAAATAGTGGAGAAATAACTCAAGAAGATAGAAAAACCAGATTTTGTAATTTTTGAAAATAAAGCTCAAGGGATCAGAAATTAATAAAATTTTCTTTCAAAATATTAAAAAGAATCGACCCATGTATTTATGTTATAATTAGCAAAAGAATAAAGAAGAGTTTCTAGATAAACTTAATTGCACAAAGTAAGCCTATAACCTTAGTTGCACGAAATAAGACTTTGATTTTTCTTTCAGAAATTTTTTTAGTTTATATAAACAAAAAATACAGACTTTAATTTGAAGCAAGTTGTCCTGAAAAAGATTTTGCATTTTCTATTATATCTTTTTGGAACCTCCGGATGATCCCAATCCTGATTCCAAAATATTATGGATTATTTAAGATCTTTTACTGCATTCAGGTTGTCCAATAATAATATAAACACCAATCATTTTATTATTCCAATGATGCCATTATAAAGTTAATGGGACATATATCAGTAATAAGGATTTAGACGCCATACATCATAATCTGACAATATTGCCGATACCTCAAAAATGACATACACAGATCAACTAATCCCTGTTCAATAGTGAATTGGACATATCTCAATAGCACCATTAGAAAATTAAAAAGGAAAAAAAAAACACATGTACATGACAAATATATGCATCCTACCAACCTGGTCTTACTTGTTCAGTAACCATAAGTCTTGATGCAGTAAAACAATAATCATTTTCAAAGCACAAATTCATATGCATGGATAAATAGTTATTCTGAAGGCATGCTGACAAAATGATTGACCACAATCCAATTCAACCTCAAGCATAAAAAAGAATTCTTGCAGCATATGAAAAATGACAACTATTACAAATAACTTTTCTCTTCATAGGTAACAATAACTCTATTTATGTCAATATCACCATGTAGTACAGTCTATGCCAATGTGAATGTACAAGAGGAAGAGGAAAAAACAAAATAAGTCATGATATTTCAGACTACGGCAAGTTGGTGTATTCAAAGATATGTAATTCCAATTCCAAAGATAACATCAGAAAACTTACTTTCTCAGGCATTCATCATAAAATCCATAAACTTGAGTAATCTGCACCATATGAAATAAAGTTATAAACTTGCATACTCTGCAAATAAATGAAACAAGGTTACTAAATATGCAACCATCAGCAGGACAACCAATAGAACATGGAGTAAAAGAGTACTACTATGGTAATACTTATTAAAGACAAGAAATATGTACAAATGATATCCACTGTCAGTCATACGAGATCATTTTATGCAAAAATAAATCACAACAAAATAAACAAAACCTATAAATGAAAAGAAACAACCAGAAGTTATACCTGACGACTCTCATGGTTTCCTCTGAGAATGGTGATCCGCTGAGGATAACGCACCTTGAGAGCCACCAAAAGCTGATCATATAAAATGATTAGTAGATCAATATTATGTCAAGGCTCAGTAAAGTGATTCAAAGAAAATCCTCTTGAAACTCAACAAGCACAGGAAGCTCTCACTCTCATATACAACAGCCATCAACTTGCAATTTCCTGATAAAATAGAATTCATGATAGTCGAAGCTTGGTTCCTTTTGGATTCAGTTATTAATTTTAGAACTCGAGTTAAGGGCTGAGCTGATCGGAACTCTTAATCTATGATAAAGTCTCCGTGAACAGGGCTTTAGCATGTGGTTTTAATCCATAAGATTTAGGCGTTATGGGTTAAATAGGATTCCAGGTACACAAACACAAATAAAACAAGCTTGCAGCAAACACAAAAATGTGTAACTTCTGTACTGTAGGGAACAGCTGAGAACTAGATATCACTTGGACAAAAGAAGTAACATATAAAGCGTTACCATGTTGTAGGCTACTGTCTCAATCATAAGTAGCAAACTAGGATTGTGCAGTTAGTGCAGGTTGACAAAATAGATATCATGAAAATTATGTAACTTATAACATAAAATAGCATATATCAAACAAAACAGCATAAAATGAGAATGAGGTACTTCACTTACCGTAACAGTCTCAACAGAATAGTACCCACGGTCAACATAATCACCCATAAACAAGTAATTTGTATCTGGACACTGAATAGCAGAAAAATAATCACCAAATACATAAGATATACTGATTTAGGACATAAATAATCATCAGAAATATTTGATCAAGTTTAGGTCACTATTTCCTAAACTTGCATCAAAACAAGAAACCATGTGAAAGATGAAGAAGGATACCTTTCCACCAATTCGAAATAGTTCCGCAAGATCATGAAATTGCCCATGAATGTCACCGCAGATTGTCACAGGGCTCTTCACAGGCTGTGATCCATAGAAAGGTTAAATTCTATAACAGATAAACAAGTTGCTAATAACAGTTCTCAGAGAAGATGAAGATTCTCGTTTAAACAGAACAATCAATGGAAACAACAACAATTTAGGTCTCAACTATATAGCATAGTTATTAGAAATGAACTGGTCAGTGACCTTGCTAGGCTTTGGCTAATTAGTAAGAGCAGCAGGTCAATTGGAAGGATCGCAGATTACTAGAATAAACAATGATATTTTTACGTTTTAATTTTTTTTTCTTTTACTTCCTACTTTCTTCTTCCTTCCTTTGCTCCTATATCTTCTTCTCATTTTCCTTATTTGCTTCTCTTCCTCCTCTTCTCTTTTCCCCTCCTCTCCTCTTCTTACCATTCCTCTTCTCCTTCTCTTCTTTTCCTTTACCTCCCTGCTCTTCTTCTCTACTTCTCTCCCCATCCAACTGCTCTTTCTTTTCTCCTATTTTCTCCAATTTATCTACTCCTTATTAGGCATCACGAAAAATGGTGGCTGTGAGAGAGAAGCAGAGTTAATCAAGTGGGAGAGAAGCAATGGGAAGATCAAAAAAGTGTTTCTTTTATTAATGATACTGATATTATTCAAATTCCCTTACTATGATTTAACTTCACTTAAATGATAAGGGTATCACTGAATTTTAAATATATTAAAAAACTGATCATTCATTAAAGAACCAGCAGACTTTGTGGGTCCAGGTTACTTTTAATAGAATTGGATTGGTCTCTGATTCCCAGTTCACAGTTTTTTTTCATTCAAACTGGCTGGTCCCTAGTCTCGAGCCATTTTTTCAATTCTCAGGTCAAAAATCATGCTAATTAGAGCTGTATAGATATATCTCTTTCCTACGTAAAACCCTAAATCACCAATCAGGGTAGAGTGACTCCAGTAGAGTCATCAAGTCACTTTTACGAATTCATTCTCTTTGGCCCACTAGTGCTTGTGCACCACATGCATCATGTCATTAGTGCATATATGGCCTCTTTTCACCGTCCATTAGACTGTAAATGGTTTTAACTCATTTTTTCTGTCAACTGAAACATTTCTAATTTTATCTGAGCTTGTAAGCCCACATATCCATTCCAACAACCTTCTCCCAGCAACACCAAGCCTTTGCACATGTTTGAATAACAAAACAATATTGGACTGATGGCAAACTAAAAATTGGCTTATGACTAGAATTTCTTGTCTTTAACTGATTGTTATAGCCAGTATAAAGTGCCAATATCTTATTTTCATGTTCTTATTGATGCTTTTTTGTTGGTACAAAATTCATAAGTTAATATCTCATAAAGATAACAAAGAAAAGAGAAAATTGCTAGTAGTGCATAAAATAACCAAAATTCTGAGAAAAATACAAAAGCAGTATATGCGGCTCTTGCTACCATGATGTCTAGTCAGGGTAGATTACTACCCATGTGCGAAATGTGATTATTTCTCCATCATGCCTCATTTAAAGCAGTCTTTATGCTTTGCCATGGCCTTCACTTAATTAATAGAACATCCTAAGAGCAAGAATACCTACCTGAACGTTGCTTTCTTCCATCAATACCTCTTTTGCCTTCTCACACAGCATCCTAACCTGCACAATTAAATAAAATCAACAGGAAGAAACTAAATTACCACCAATTAAATGTTGAATAGTGATCAGCAAACAATTGATAAAATCAAAATGATGATTACTACAAGAATTGCCAAGCCATGACCAAGAGCATCCAGCAAGAACTTCATAGATATACCAATGCTTCTACAAGGTTCAATAATTTTGTAAATTCTCAATGAAAAAAATCGATTCATAAAAGATGTTACGAGTGAGGCATTGAAACTCATATGGTATATCCATACATTCAAAAGGCTTCAGAAAAGAAGGTACAAAAGAGTAAATGGGCATCAAATCAATTCGAAACATACTTCAGATGTCATATTATGTCAGCTAAACTATTTAGTATCTACATGCCAATAATTTAGGTTTCTATAGGTATGCTGAGAAACCAACGGTGAAGTTGCATTTACGTTATTAGATTAGTTCAATTCATCTATGGCTAAGTGAACACAAGAATTCACTCTAGATTCGTAAGACAACCAACCAACCAACCTACCTACCTACCTGATTCATCGAGTAACTCCATACACCATTCATATAAAAATCATTAGAACAAATATAAGACAACCAACCTAGAAAGGTCACCATTAAGACTTCCATGTGATAGAGAGCCTCAAATTATCTCCATATCCACCATCAACACATTACTTCTAGCGAGTCAGATGTATCATACGCAACGCATATACTTCTATGAACTGCAAAAAGTAAAGAAAAGAAATCTTCGAGTAGATCCAGCACCAACACCCACGAATCTCAATCAAAGATACCTTAGATCCTCAAAGATTTCATTCCGAGTCCAACTACAGACCCCATCGAAGGAACTCTCAGATCGCTCAACGAAATCCCGCCTATCGACCAAGAAACACTCAATCCCCCACCGATCTGCCACAAAGACTCAGAAATCGACAAGAAATTCCAAAAACCTTGATCCTGACCGAAAAAGACAGAAATCAAAGGGTAAACGGAGAGAGAGAGAGAGGACCTCTTGCTCGGGGAGCGGCTTGCACTGCATGAGCTGCGAGATCTGCTCGTCCAGGTTGCCATGGGAGGCGGAAGCCGGCACAGTATTGACGCTCATCTTGGCCTCAGCACCTCCCCAGCCTTGGAAACGCCGCCACGACCCAAGATCGAAACCTTAATCCAAGATTTCGCCCGCGCCTCGATCCCAAGCAAACGAGCGCCTCTCCCCGTCCCTCCCCTCCCCCAAGAAGAAGAAACCCCGCGTTCGACGGCGAGAAATGGCGAAGAGGTGAGAGAGAGAGAGGAAAGAGGAGGAGGGAGAGAGGGAAACAAGAGAGAAAAAGGGAAAGGAAACCCTCGATGAAGCCTTGCTAGGCCTCTTTATTGGCGTCATTTGACGCCACGATTCGGAGAAGGCCTCACTCCCTTCACCGTCAGATTAGCTGTCCGATTCCACCCAGCCTTGAGCTTGAATCATGACGTGGCAAGCAGCCGTTGGTTGGTAGTTACCTGGGACCCACTATATAGCGGCCAATCACTTGGAAGAAGATCGAAACTTTATAAATAGATCTCTCATGACAATTTCTTCCTTTTATTATTTTTTTTTTTCTGCCATTTAGCAGTCTACTTTTAACTATTTTCCTGATTGGATTTTTCACAATAAAAGTCATGTTAAAATAAATTACTGGTTAACATAATGCAGAGAGACATTTAAATGCTCAACTTTCAAATATTTTCTATATTTAATTGGCTTCTTGCTTTATTGCCTACATTGATTACCAACATAGATAAATACTTTCCCTTGGAAGTTAGGGTTTGCATCAGAAACAAATAATGAAAAAGGGAAATACCATAATTCAGTCAAAATAAAAAAGTTCAAACTCCAAGAAAATAAGGATTTGGACTTAAAGAGCAAAAAGTACTTTTGTAGCTTAGTTCAGATGTAGGAGGACTAAACGGAGCATTACACAACAAGCCCATGAACAAATCCAATCTTCTTGCTACTTTTATGTACGTTGAGATTGGTGAACCTGCGATGCATGGGATCCACCGCTCATTGGGTGACAGTCATTCGAGGAAGTGCATGATGGAACATGGCATCTCTTCTCTCTCTCTTATCTCTCCCCTACCTATATATTATATATATAATAACCATAATTTATGATACCCTAGAAAGTTATCATAGAAGGACATGTGACCACAGTACGATTTCATTTCATCCTAGCATTATTGTAGCTTTACAACCCTACCTCGATCACTGCATTCACATAAGATCAGTACCAAATAGCCAACTCTAGCTCAAGTTGGTAAGAAAATGATTGGCTTACCAAAACATGCATCTGATAGGAATATGATCCAACAATGTAAAATAAATCTTGTTCATAAGCCTGACAATTGAGTATCCAAAACAGATAAGTTTATCAGAAAAATATAATTGTGGCACTTTGGTAAACTATGCACTTGGTAACAGTCAAATTGTGTTTTTGAAAAAAATAAGAAGATTTATTGTACAGAGAATTCTAACCTAAGAAAAGAAACAATTGAATCATCACTCCAAAATTCCTATCTTCCACTATAAGAACAGAACCTCCAGTTCAAAGGGACAGAGCTGTTCAACTGATCAGGGCTTGTTATGACTCCTTTCGCAACTTCTGCCGAGTAACTTGGCATGCTCTTGAGGCCAACAACAATACAAGCTCCCCGATACTTTTCTGACCTTTACAAGGTGGCTCATTTATTTGTGGACATCACAAGCCTTTCTTGTCTAGCTCTATGAAAAAACCTCGGTGCACATAGAGGGACGTGGACAGATGATGATAAACTTAGTTAAGGGCATAATGAATACGTTCAAGAAGCTGAACAACCATGTTGACAGACAGAGGTGATTGGTGCAAGTCTGAAGCTGATGCATGCGTACTTGATCCAGGTGAAGCAAGCACAGATTCTTGCTGCAAACTTGTTAGCTCCAAGAACTGCATAAGCATGTCCCCATCAAGTATGGTAGGCACTCCTGCCTGCAATACAGCACATAAAAACTCTTATACATGACTTATGCACATCATAGTAAAAAGATGGAATTCTAAGGTCATTAATGACAATAAAACATACAAGAAAATTTTAAAAAGAAAAAACAATGAATGAACATCCAGCCAAAACTTTCAAGCTAGTGCTGAAAAGAACAATGGGTCGCCAAAGTACAGAAGCTTCATAACCAACTGTAGCTGTAACACAAGGGTGGCCCAATGAACGAGGCTCCCACTAATGTGGAATTTAGGGGAGGTCTCCAACTTGAACCTTTGAAATCCAGGTTGAAGGAATATCTTAAATGGAAACTTTGCAGCAGCATCTGCAATATATGGTCACTCTTTGTCACCACGGCCATTTGGTGTTTCAATAGCTGCACTAATGTGTTTTTGAGACTGGATATAAAGACACTACTAAATAATCTTACTTGTGGTGGCTACTATCAAGCGAAGATCATTTCTATTTTATTTATAGTTGCTCCTAAAGGGAGTCCACTTCAGAATGCATTCAGGTAAGTTACATAAAGTATAAACACTTCATAGAGCTCTAGAAACAAAGCGTAGGTACTTCACAGTTCACAAGAGAGTTGCACGCTATGTTCTAATGCTTTCGACACATTTGAGGCATCAGTTCTGCTTTTGGTGACTAGTCAACTGTATAAGAGTAAGTGTACAAATTACTGTCTATTGCATCAAGATAGTCAAAATATTGCTTATTTTAAACTTATAATCAATCCACTGATCAGAAATGGCAAAGCATGTACACTATGAAGGAATAATACAGTACCCCCCATGAAACACAATATATGATAGAACTTGGTAACAAAGCAATAGACTTTATGTGATTAAGCAGCTGTTTGAGCAACAAAGTAATTTTAATGACTTCTGCAAGTTTCTTTGGAGTCAAATCCATAGAGGCCTTGAGCACATATATGAAGATCCCTTTGCCATCATCAAAAGGGCAAGAAATGTCTCCTACAGAGTGCAACTACAAGTGCTGAGTTTGTTGAGTGGCAAGTTGAGACAATTTAGTAGATCGAGTTCACAACCTCTCCAATGGAGCAATAACAATGAAGTAATTGATGAAGTGGCAAAGGCTTCCACAAAATTCGAGGGAAACTGGGAGCGTAAAGGTGCATTGCGGCATTAGGAAGATTGCATCCAAGAGGGCTTCAATAACATCAAAATCAAGTGGGGGTGAGTGTCAAGGACCCTTGGGTTTAGCAAATGTAATATTTTATACTTTATGGGATTTGTAGCAAATGTAGTGTTGCTACTGGCGTTTTACCAAACCATGATGGGATTTGTCTCATATCATGGGCTGAAATTTGATGTGGAGCATGAATGACATCAAATCAAAACATTACTCATCATAACACCTAGAAACCGCTCCCAAGTGACACATGGAAGGATTTCCCTCTCAGACAGTACCTGTGTCACACTTTCGTCCAATAATTGGCACACAAGTGCCAGCAACACAGGTATTTTGCCCTAGCGCACGTTCACTCATGCTGACGTTTCGCATGCAACTGTGACACAAATAAGTGCCATGCAGATTAGCTAGACAAAGTTGACCCCTCGACAGATTGGCATGTATAACATCAGCAAAATACGAGTATGATCTAGTGCCACGAAAGAACAACTTGATCCAAATGATCACTCTTTGAGTTGAATTATTTTTCTTTAATTCATTTATCATTTCCATTTCTGATTAATTCCTCAATGGAAATTTGCAGAAAGTGTGTTTAACTATAGAAACCATAAAAAACTGTTTTTTAAAAGTGAAAATCTTGAAAACATGCTTGTTACTTTTGTTATAATATAATTAACCTGCTTCGGCATTAAAACATTTTCCAGTTTATATCATATTACACATGAAAGCATCACATCATAGAAGACAAAAAAATGAACTAAATGTTCAAAGTATGCCAAACCAACAGAGGCCAGGATAACCGTCTCCGTATTTCTTTCCACTCAATCAAGCACGAGGTTGTAGCAACCTAAAGGTGAGTAGTTTGCATGATTTGAAGAATAGCACATTCAACACCTGCAATGGTCTTGCACTGCAGTACTGGGCATGATCAGGTGGCAGACTCTACCATGCATACAAATGGCCTTAATGCATGTCCATACATGTGCTAGACTGATATGATCGTGCTTGGCGAATTTGGCCTACCATGCAATCATCAATATTACTGGCATGACCTGATGTCAGTAAGAAACTGGACATACAGAAATCGTGCTCATACATCAATGATTAATCCATTATTTAGTTTATAATTCCTTTAAAATGCACACTGATTAGATTTATTTCCAGAGAAAAGATATAATGCATAGCAGTTCCACAAATTCCCATTGTACGTTCTCAGGGAATTATAGAAGGTTCTTGAATAAAGGCTCCATAAGTTAAATTTTCCTATATAAGTCATATAGATATGTCTGATTTTCCAGTCATGGAAAATACAATAAATTTGACAATTCTATATCTCTTATCTATAAACAAAATAGAAGGAAAATAAAATTTTGAGTTTCTTAGAAAGTCAAGAGCAGCCCCCATGACATGTAATCATTAAAAAATTCCATAGAGAGAACAACAGAGGAAGAAAGAGAAATTTTCCCTACACCTCCAAATTATAAAAATAAAAAACCCTTATTCCCTACAGCTTTCACATTTTATAAATGTATTAATCATAGAACACTTCCTTAATATAGTGTGGAAAAAAAACAAAGGAAGGTATATCTATCCTATGTTCAGAACTTCAAATACCAGGTCACAGAAGTAACAAGTTAATAAAGATAAGTGTTTTCTTCTGCACTTGGAAGAAAGAAGTACAAACTCATCTAATGCGATGTGTGATATCCACAGGATATATAAAATACAAAGAATCAGATTCCACAATGTCACACTTCAAACAAAATTTGAAACAGACCTCTTAGTAAAAAGCAAGAAAACAATGACTTGACATACCGGCAGTCCACGCCCACGATATTCCTTGTGCTCATTTCCTAGTACTGGACAAGTCAGCCAATGAACTGCAAGTCTAGCTTGCACAGATTCTAGCAATGCATGTTCTTCGCTGCAGGATATAAAATACTATCATGTAAAAAATGTGCAACAGTTTTTTAGTAGAACCTAAGATCTTCAACAGCATATTATCATCCACACAAGGCATTTCCTGAAATGAAACACAGCTGGCAGCTTATGCCAGGGACATATGGATGTTGCCCAGGGTTACAACAGAAGCTACCAGAAAAAATCCAATAAACTCTTTAAGGAAAAAATAATTCCAAAAAAATAGCTGTCAAGATAAAAATTGCTGATTATGTGAAAAATTGTTATAGTGCAGCAAAATTGTCAAGAGTCAAATAAAAATAAATTATTTTCTTTGCATTTCAATTGGTTAAATATCAAGGAAGTTCATGCAAGAATATGTTCCATTGGCATATCATGTTAACGTACTCTGAACATGTTTCAATGCTTACAGCATATATATCATCCATAAAGCATATATAATTACCACCTCCAAGAATTATATCAATTGCTTATGTCCCAAGTATGTGGGTGTGAATTTTGTTTGTGAATAATGAATTTTCCATCCAGAACTGAGAGTTGTATTTAGTTTTCTCCAAAAATCCATCACACAATGGGAAAATGTAAAACCTTCCATATATATTGACAAGATACGAAATCAATATTGAACAATCACATTCCAAACAAGTAGACATTTGTGTCTTGCTCATTCATGTGACAATATAGCCTTCAGCAAGGAATAATATTCAACGTCCTATTTCTAGGATCCCATAAGCTTCCCGGACTCACCAAACAATAAGCTGACTAATACTGAGTTGTCCTGGTATCAGGGTCTTTTTAGTTTTTGTTATCTGATGACAACTCCTGACAGCCTCTTTTTCTCCTTTACTCTCCTCAACCACCACTCCTTTTTCCCTCCACAGCTACCTCCTAATCTGTGTTGACACTGCCACCACCTCATCCAAGTAGCTGCCGCATCCATGTCCGCCTTGCAGCTGCCACCTCCTCGTCCACATTGCCCTCTCTCTCTCTCTCTCTGGGGTCCAGGTTAGTACCGCAAAGTACCAACCCATACTGGCATGTTGACCCATACAGGTACTGAACCAGTCAAAGATCTAATTTCTTGGCAACATGAGACAAGGTTTATAGCTTCTTGGGATCCAAATTTTAGCACACTCTATTTCCTCATAGATGACCTATTTGTGAAAGCCCACGCGGAGATGAAGTTGGCCTCATTGCAACTTCGAGGATTACAAACTGCATAAAAGAAACCTAAACTCTAAAACCCCAAATACCAATTAAAATGCCCACTCATATCCTTATTGCCATCCAAACCAATCAGTCAATAAAGACTTTGATCCCAAGTGCTTACGAAAATCAACATAATACATGATTGAAAATCTAGTAATGGATCTAAGATCACACTGCAATACACAAAAACAATTCCTTCCTTCAAAAATACAAAATATTCTCTAGTTAGAATATTGGTCTGCTGACCAGTATCCCAGTAATTTATAACTGTGTTATTTCCTAAAATAATAGTCAAAAGAATCATATTACATCAAATACAGTGTCTCTTGAGTAACATCCAGATGGCAAACATGTGAGGGAATCAACTGCAGCATATGAATATCAAAATTTTCAACCTGTACATGCAACAGCTAGCTGTGTCTAGTTGGTGTATGCAAAGAAACAAGTTTTAATTGATAATTACACATTAGCCATCTCTTTAATCATTTGATTTATGTATTTGGTCTTAAAAGCAATAACCAAAAACAAATATGCATAAGATGCTTTTTGCCAATAATGTTCCTAAAGTAGACCAACAACCGTAAATGCATAATGAGGTCAACCCAGCCATACAGCTAATAATCTCACCTTGTAATAGGAATGAGGACGAAGACACTTCCTAGCAATGTGCTTGCAACAACACTGTTGTAGGAAGATTCTAGAACTCTTTCCACACCATCAGAACCATTGAGAACATTATCTACCGGAAGTTTACATGAAATTGAAGCCTGTAAGCACACAACTGATTAAAATTATTCACTAAAAATGTAAAATACGGGATTCTTCCACACTAACAATTACAACATAATAAAACAAGAGAAGGTATATATTCAGTCCCATCAAATTATGGAAATGAAAGATGACAGAAAAAGTACTAAGCATGAAAAGTTTGATGCTTTCTGCCTTCTATATCATCCAACATCATACGATGACAACATGCCAGAAATATCTAAAAAAGATGGGTATGGTTTTCGAGAGGTTCAGAGTATCTTCACCATTATATACCTCCATGACACAAAAATCATGGGACAAGAAAGAATCTGATTGGTAGACTCCACAACCAGAAGCTTATTAGGCAATAAGCATGTTCTGTTCGGCCTGTTACAAATTAGTTCACAAGAACAAAGATGCAGGCCACCATGGAGATACACTGATTAGAGACAACCCACATATCACAAGGGCACACAAGAAAGAGAGGAGACAAAATGTTTTTAACCTAAAAGGCACCAGCTAATCTACACAGTCAAAATAAACATCATTCTATATCAAGAAGTTTGGTTATTGAAATATATACTAGAAATTACTCGCATTGGATAGGTAAGCCAAATCAATTCAGATAAATGTTACAAGCAGCAGAAGAGGAAGACTTAAGAAGAGTAAGAACAGTAACAAGGGATTTAGGGGCTTTTAGCTCAGGGAACTCAATGGCAGGAAATCATCAGTGCAGCAGAAGACAAAGTTTTCGGACATAGATCTTGTTTTTGTTATGGTAACAATTTATTCTTCAGTATGGGAAAAAGACTAGCAATAACAGAAAAATAAGTAAAGTGGACAGCTTCTGATTACGATTGAATAGAAATTTTGCCTACAATTTCAGAACCAAAGTGGACAATTTTTGTTCACTACATAATTGACCAAAGCAATAAGCTCTTCGAACCGCCCATATCAATAAACTTCTAATGTTATATTTAAATTATTCAATGCTGCGTACTGATAGAGTGTATGAAGATCTTTGAGGATTAAATAACAAGTGCTAGCACTATTTCAATATACTAAAAGAGGTCATAAAAGTGAAAAAGCAAATCGACCATGAAGATTATATAAGCTGAACAAAGATGAACACCTCTTGGGAAAGGAATGAGAATCAAATCTGTACCCGACTTAAACAGAATTCAGATACTCCCAACATTTAACTTAGTTTGATGTAAGGTTTTCAATTGCAGTGGCCAATCCATGGCCAAACTTATACAGGCCTGTTCTGGTGTATGAACACATGCTGCGCCGGAACATACCAAGGTACTATTCTTTGGCGGGAACGGGGAAGGGACGAGGAGCAAAAAATAAGGAGAAGGGAGAGGAGAATAGGTGTATCCTAGACAAGGGTCATGATTCCTAGGTGACCACAGAGCGTTTAGGATTTAAAAAACATGAAAAAAATAAAACAATCATTTTAATAAAAGAACAAGACCGTCCGAAATAAACTCTTGAACCAGTATGTACTAGGCCCATAAGCTATTGGACCGGTGAATACCTCCCAGCACAAATTAGTCCAGGCAAAACGTAGATCTATGGTTTTATCATTACATTAAGTTTAGCAACTGAAATCCAAGGGAATGATTTCAAGACCCAAGTCCAAGTCCAAGTCTCTCTCTCTCTCTCTCTCTCTCTCTCTCTCTATATATATATATATATATATATATATATATATATATATATATATATATATATATATATATATATATATATATATATATATATATGCGTGTGTGTGTGTATATATGTGCATATATATATATATCAAAGTTCGTAATTTCGTATCGTACTGACATATCAAGCTTTGCTTGATATGATACGATATAAGCATACCGAGCAGTATACCAAGGTGTACCGCCCGATGCGTGTATATGTACATATATATATATATGTACATATATATATATATATATATAAAGAGGCATACGCTGCCTCGACGATGTCGTCTCCTTTTCTTCTCCTCGTCACGTTAAACGAGGAGAAGAATATGGTCTTCTCCTCATCTGCGGTGTTCGGCGAAGACGTCAAAGGCCACAGATATCTCCAGCCTTCGACGAAGAACACGGCAAAGGCCACAGACGTCTCCGGCCTTCAGCGAAGAAGAAGCCGAGCCGCCACCTCTCTGTTATCTCCTGGATCGGGATCGTCGAGGGAGGGTGCCGTTGGATCGGGAAGCATCAAGTTTCTCCCGATTCTCCCTCTTCTTTGAGCGCCTTCTCCCTCGTATCCCTCGATGCTTCTTTTTCCCTCGCTGTAGCCAGCAGATCGCTCGCTACTTCAAAACCCAAGAATCGCTATGGGACAAAAGGTATTAACAAAAATCAGCATGTCATGCTTCACCTATATGACCACTCTTTTAAATCCAAAGCAACTACAGTACTCATCTAGTTCAGCTTGTCCACTGAAATTAAAAAAGTAATAGTTCATAATTGCTCATCTATGGTCTTGGTAAATGTTTTCAAACTTCTTAATACTCCTTGGTTAAAAACCTTTAGTAAAAGTTTAAACACTGACAATGTTCATATATTATCTGCTTAAGAGCAAATTCTCATTTACAAATCATAAAATTTGCTAGGCAAGAAATCACCTTCTGGATGCTCATAACAGTTTCTCCCATGTAAAATGAACAATTTAGCACCAAGTTCTTCTCTGGGTATTCACTGACTGCAAGATACATGGCAATCATTAACTTGTATTCATTGCAATGGAGTAAGGAAGCAAAAATGATTTGAGTATGTAACCAAGTAGCAAACACTACATGGATGACCTAAAACAATGTACATGCCATCAAAATCACACAGCAGCTTCCAAACGACAACAATAAGAATCTATTCTAAAGATCAAGATTTCACAACATCATGATATCCATTAGAACTTGACAAGATTAAAGTCGAACATCTTGAGAGCGACTGAAGAGTTAATATATAATGCTGCTTAGAATGATAGGCATGCATGTTCAGTACCCAATAGAAGAACAGACATAGAAGATCTATGTAAAGAATCTCCTAAATGCCACAGGCTCTCTACCATGCAATCTTAATCACCTGTCTACTAAAGATGCACAGTGTACCATCATAAGCATTTTTGATACACCATAAGTCTGTTAATTAATGGAAAAAAAGATAGATTGGTTGCACCATATTGACCATAAAATTCCAAATGAAAATGATGAGACCCACGTATGTAAATTTATGGGGAAAATACAAATTAATGAGTACAAGATTATATATCAACAACACTTGTAGCAGCAGTTCATCACATCACAAGTTAAAAATCAAAGTATAAGTCTACAGATAGTCATACTAATTATGTTAATGATGCAGTTTTTAACAGTCATCATTACAAATCACAATCTACAATTAACCTTAATTCTACTGAAGAATAAGAGAAAAAAAAGCCTATGTACTGCACTTCAAGAACTTCATGCCTATGCAGAAGATGCAAAATGCATTTTCATGATTGATTATAACAACTGATGACAGTATTTAAGTTGTAATAGGTTACAAACAAAGGCTCATGCATTGGATCATAATCATTCAGTGTGCCAAGATTGACAAAAGCAAGGTTTGAATACATTTTGTGTAGCCTTATCCCTGGCCCCTATGTCCAATGAGATCTCTAAAGTATTTCTTCTTTCCTCTAGGTATGTGTCCTTTTTTCTTGTTCTTTCCCACTGGTACTAGACAGTATAGGACGACATCCTGGTTATGTCAATCTATAATACCAGTCGAATAGCCAGCCAGCATCTACCTAAACAAAAGTCAAATCCCAAGACTATAGTACACAACCAATCCACTTTCTGACATACAAATGATACAAGATACTTTATCAAATATTTCAAATTTGGAGTTACGTTATTACTAATTAATATTAGTGTGTTACCAACAAAGAAGTAGACTTACTATCATGCAGAAGATTATACACTTCAACATATACAGTCTCGAAGCATTTGTTTCAACACTGGCAAATTTTTCTCTATGCTCGTGATAGATAAATGGTCTCTAAAATTCTGGTTTTTCTAAAATAGAAATACAAATGGAGCTGTTTAAGAAAAGCAACAAAATCTTGATTACAGATGGAACATTCCATTTTTGAAAATAAAATATCATCCCTTGATTTCCCAAAGTAACCTCTGCATGCTTGAAACAAGGGTTCAAATATAATTATTTTGGAAACACAGGAAGCAGTACATTGATTTTCAATAAAAATCTATTTGATTACAACAAAAAATCCATGGAAAATATAGATAAATTGTTCGGATTTAGGAAAGGAAATGAAAACCTCTTTATATGTCCTTATTCTGTGCTTGAAATGAAAAAAAAAACTATTTTCTGGAAAGAAATCTTGAAAAGACATATGGAGCAGGTGGGCAGATCTTCCTTTGAAAAGAAAAGGTTAACTTTCCTGGATAACTGGAAAACAGGTTTCAACATTTTTTGGAATCTCTACCATATAAACACTCGAAAAAGACATTTCCGAAGGAAAAATAGTTTTATGGGAACTTTTCTGTGCAACCAAAGACACCTGAGGGAGGTCAGAACTGTAATATCTCACGGTACAGGTTTCAAAAAGAAATAAACAAAATTTGAACACATAATCGTGCATCAATATGGCCAATCTGATTCATATTAGTCTTGAAGACACACATATATAACAGATAAATGCATTTTTATCAGATATATGGACACATGAAGACAGCCTCAAATATCACGTGATTATGCAGATAAGCACTTGTTACAAACATATAGATGTTAACAATTTAAGAAACAAAATTGACATCTAAATATTTTGTGCAATTATGTCATGATTTCTACATTACTTCAAGAACAGTAATTGCCAGACGAAGCATGAAATAAATCACTATAGCACTGACCACAAGCAGGAAGGCATACTGCTACTCTTTGATACACATTTGCAGATGTTATACTGCTTTTGAGAACATAATAACCAAAATTATAGATACTAAACGAGAAACCACTATACAAGTGCTTGGCCAACATCATCACGAGCATAACATACCTTCCAAAGAACTGGGACATGACAGTACAGAAATGTTGCCTCTACGATCTGACACAACAGCGGTATCACAATCCATCAGAGCACAATCAGCAACCAACCTCTGAACAGGATCAGAATACAAAAGCTCCAATTTTCTAACATCCTGAAAGTAGAAAAATATATAACAATGATAGATTTAAAAGGAATGAACATTGTAAGTGTATCTAAAGGACCACATAAAACATATCTTAGCTCAGATGACAAGGCATACCTCATGATAAGAATAAAAAAGGATGCCATCACGACAATCACCAACAGCTATTCTAGTGAGATGTGTCCTCAAACAAGTAATGGTAAAGCGTGTTCTGCCTACGGCAAACTTTCTCAGACGTTGAGGATTCTCGTTTGCAAAGCCAAAAACATTAAGCTGTTGAAGAAAGATTATCAGCTTTTCCACATTTTTTGGAAAAAAAGAAACAAAGAAGAGAGAGTGGGAGATCAGTGGAGATGCCAGATGACAAAACAGTTTTAAAGCCAATAAAGACAGTTTTGAAGAATGATAACTCACAGTATTACCAGCAGAAGCCAAGACATATTGATCTAGATAAGGACAGACTGCCAGTACAGCACCAGATGATGTGGCTTGAGAAACTAATCGCAATTGCCCTGCCCCAATTTCGTCAAGATGAATTCCATCACTGCAAGGATCACCTTGGCTGCTGCAATGACTACTGCTAGACAACTGTTCAGCAGAATACCCAACAATTTCCCCGAACGGGGAACCAGCTTGGGAGGATACATCCATATTAGAGCAGTAAATCAATGGACTTCCCTCTGAATAATTTTGTGCGGAGTCCAAGCTCAGCACAATCAAGCGTCCCTTTGTACTGTTTATTCCAAGGAAAAAAAAAACATGTTATAAGATCAAATTTTTGAATTTGTTTAAAAGGAAAGCTAATCATAAGTGAAAAATATAATGCTCAAAGGTGATGCTGAAGTACAGCATTATGCCATATACTAAAATGATGAATAAAAGATTTATTGTAAAAAAGATAAAGGTACTCTTTTAAAAGAATTAATAGTAAATCAGATAAAGTAAGCATCATAAACCTAATTTCTGAGAATATATCCAACATGAAGTAGAGTTTGCACGCAAAAGAATTTATCATATTGAGAATAGACCATCTTTAGGATTCACTTTATGTTAATCAAGTCGACTTTTTCTATCTTTACCTATCTTTATAGGCATGTTTTGTAATTGTCTTTCGTAATAATAAAAATTATCCAGAACCATTAGATGATTTTAAGTTTGGGCATTTAATTAGTATCTAGTGGCTCTTTCTCTTGTTATGGTTCCTAATTAGAAACATACTAGGAAGCTTATGTTACAAATAGAGGTTTCAAGAAGTCAATGTATTTAATATATATATATATATATATATATATATATATGGGAATAAAAGAACTACAATATTCAAGAGGCCCTTCTCTATCTGTGTTTTCTGGCAATCTCGCTCTTCTCTCTTTCTCCTTTTCTCTTCTGCCTCCCTAACTGCTGGAAAGCATGTAGCAGTGTGTGTTCTCTAAATGCATCACATAACAGGATCCATTTTCCTACCATTTCAGCAGCACCCAAAACCTGCTGCTGAGTTCAGACTTGGTGGAAATCATGTCTGACTGACCAGCCATTCTGCAGCAGTTTCCTGCACCTTACACCTCAATGAAAGAAGCAGGAAACATCAGATAGCACATATCAGCAGGTCCGTTTTTTCCCCATATCCAGGCACCCAACATTCAGCAGTCTCTCCCTATATAAGAAAAAATAGGGTATACCATTTCCTATAACTGAATGCATGGATGCCATGCATGACATGGGCGTTGACGACTAGCAAGAGCAAATCATAATGCCAAGGTATGTTTGCTGACTCTTGGCATTGCCTGGCTTCAGTCCTAGCACCCAAGCATACCACAGTCATGCATTTTAAACACCTTGCAAAATACCATAAATTGCAGACATCCATTAGAATGATCTGCAACATCAGGACTCAGAACATATCACTAAATTGGAAACGATGACCATGACAAAAACTGGATACAGAGACACATTCTCGGAAGCATATGACCAATGATGCTATGAAGCAGAAAGACTGCAAGCAGGGCCGGAGTACAGAAGAAAACAGGCAATATCTCATTTTGATGGTTATCATCAATTTATCCATCTCCAAGCAAGAACTAGTAATTCTCATGGGATCAAAGCAAGCATAGAAGGCACAGGCATGCATGCAAACAATCCAGCAAAAAGAATTGCCCGAGTACTTTCAAGGGTAGAAAAACATGCATACTCTGGAGATATGGAACCAATTGACATGCATCTTTGAACACAGAAGGATAACGCAAACAGAAAGAAATTGTTTCATATTCAAACCTCTCAGCTTCACCACTGGGCATTATAATCCTGCCAACAGACTGACTGGTTCCAACAACCAGGACTTGCTCCTTTCCTACCTTCACTATTTGCATACATTTTGCTGTTTCCCCAGGTTCACATTGAAACTTTGAAAGCAATGTTCCACTAAAAGGATCTACTCGGCATACGTCTGATGAACATGATCCACCACCTAATCCAGTTCTCAACACCAGCAATGTTTTACTTTCACTATGATATAAAACTTTCCTCGGAGTGCCATCAATAGAGAACTTCTGTACATTAAGTCTCTTGCAATGTACCATCTCAACCTACACAACAAAGAAATGAGCACAAAAACATAATCACACCGCCAACAAGAAAAAAAAATTAACCAAAAATTGCAGGTTCTGACCAGGAAATTATTTGTAAGGTAAGCCTATTTATACCACAATGAAAAACAGCTTGTAAATAATATACAAGATTTACTGTTTTCGCATAAATAAAAAAATAAAATAAATCTGAGGCATAAAAAATTAGGCATAAATCAACTGCTAGCTTCCAAGGACTTCCTATATTAATTTTTTTTTTATCATTCTGTTGCAATGATGGTATTTTACGAATTAAAACTTAACTGAAAAAGAAACACAAATCCTGGCAAGAAAAAACAATAGCTGGGTCACAATAATCTTGGCAGTTACAAAACTATATCAGAAACAAATTCTCCTTCATAATACATATGAATACAAACAAAACATACAATATGCACAAATAATCAGTTCACCAGGTAGAATAAGAAGTAATATTAGGCAATCCAGCAACCCACTTAGGAGACCTGTCCGCTATGACCAATCCGTGTCAATGTACAGCAGCAACAAGGCAGTTAAGCATCAGAATCAGGTAAAACACAGTATGTCTTAATATTTTTAAATAAGCCAGATTCCAGCATTGGAGAAATCTGATAATAAAGCCCAAACAGTAGCAGGCAGAATCATCTATCAATCAATGATGTCGAGAATCTATAGGTTTCCTTTGGACAAACCCATTCGGTCTTAAATGATATTTCCTTATCTTCCAACAAAGTTAAATTTGATTATTCATAATTGCAAAAAAAATCTTTTTCTACCTTTTCTTGTGACCCCAAACATCGATGTCAACATTCTCATCTAGCAATTTAACTTTTTGTAGCCAACCATCCAACATTCCGAACTATAAAGCATGATTGGTCTTACAATTGTCATATGAAAATTTCTTTTTAATCTAAAGGGTACATGAAGGTTCACATTTATTAGTGCTTAACTATAGCGATTATGAATAAACTTTAAACAATAAAGGCAACTTAATGATACTAGCTTATATTTTACATGTTAACTTCACACAAGAAAAATGACTTTCATAGCACTAATAAATATTGCATATGGAAACAACAGGATCTATGTGAACCACACTATATATATGCCATGTTATTGGCACAAACTTGAAAGCTTGTTTTGCAAAATGAGTGGATCTAGTGCATAATTGCATGAAAGCATAAGTAATTGCTCTAGGAACATGAAAATGGAAAGCCTAAAGTATAAGTTAAGCTTGAATACAGGGCGCTTACCAGATGTAGGCTGTTTTCTGCAACAAACAGAACTCCCTTAGGGCAGTCGACAGAACAGACGGGAGTGACATGAGTCGCAGGTTGGAATGAAATGGATGTGTATGCAAGGCTGTGTCTTGCTGCATGTAATACCCATGGCCTATCACTAAGAACAATTATGTCAGCATCAAGTGAATCTTTCAAGGGTACCAAAACAGCAGGAGTAATCCCAATGCGTCGAATGGCAATCAATTGCAGGAATATGGGAATACAGTTTTTAGCCTGTTCTGTTACACTATTGTAAGAATTCAAATTTGCCACAATTGATGAGGAACTTTCATAGTCACTAAAACAAGACCTAGGGAAACAACTTTGCCTGCTCGGATCTGACTGGAGGAATTCGGGTATTGCAGGCCACTCAAAACGAAGTAGCATTCCATTTCTCAGGCCCGCAAGAACATAAGGGTGATCAACTGATACAAGCCTAACATCTTCGGGAATACATCCACTGATAGGGCTACCAAGAGCATTATTTACTGCAATAGTTCCTGTAGCAAGCACTCTAAAAGCTTCTTCATTTGCAAATGAGAGAACTTCAACTGATGGTTTATGAGTGCCAATGACAAAAGCCATATTAATATCAAAATTATCAAAGTGACTAACTTCATGATCCTTATTAGCTAGTCTAGCTTCTGAAGCTATATGTTTGTTATTGGTATTTTTCAATGGTATAGAAATGCATGAAACCTCATACTGCAGTCTCACATGTTGAATTTCATATACTTCAAAATTATAAGTTGAGAGTGATCTCACACCAATAATAGATAAAAAGCAAGGATTAGAAGTAGCTATAATTACCAAATTTTGACCAACTGCACCAACACTAATTGTCCTACTACCAGGAGACCAAGAAGCACATATTGGTAGAGAAAGAGGGACACCCCCTGGATGAGCAGACGTGGTAGGTAAACAGAGCCTTATACCACTCCTGTGAATCTGCACAAGCACCCCATCAGCAAACAAACCACAGGCCAAAGTGCAGACATCAGACTGAAACCCAACTGCATCAGTTACATCGTTAAAGCTTAAACCAACGGACAAAATCCTAGTTTCTTCAACAAAAGATAACACAAGAAAGGAGTGATAAGGATCACTTTGTTTCATCCTCAGAGTCCATGTACCAGTTACTCCTTGATAAATTGGGGCAGTCCTTAAAAGCCTTTCTACACTTATACCACTTCGAATAATTCGTAGTGAACCCTCCGGATTCATTCCACAGCAAGCAAACATTTGGTCTTGTTTCTCATCATGGTAATCAGCAATAGACACATCCAAAATTGGAGCAATGTTTTGAATAGAACTTTTGTAAAATAATTTAGCGTGTTCCAACTTAAGGACAAATCCATCTCCCATCTCCACTAAGCCTGCAATTAATCCACACTTGACCCATAAGAGTGCTTTGCATGGCGAACCCCTGTAGAGACACTCCGACAAATTAATGTTTATTCCTTCAGTGTGAGAATAAATCTCAACCATGTATAGTTCCCCAGTGTCCAAACAAAATATTAACTTAGGATCCATGGAATTACCAGGTCTCCAAGTCCATGAGCATACAAGCTTGGAACTTGAAGATCCTTTCCCGCCTCCACTATCAATGCTCATAGGATCATCAACCTTAAACATATCTGGACCAGAATCTCGTAATTCCAACAAAGCACAAGCAGCTACATTGAACATGCCTTCGTCATCATCTAATGCCCTACATGACTCTTCAACAAAGCTTCGATCTTCAACCAAACTTGGTATGTTCAAATTTATCTTGTGAAGACAACAGATATTCTGTGGGTCTCTGAGATCCATTAAAAGCATTTCTCCTATTCTAAAAAGAATTGCAAAGCCAGGAAAATGAGGAATGGCAGATATATTAATTGCTAAAGGCCCTGTTTCAGAATACCAGGATATAACTTGTATAGCATGTGCATGGCGATTATACCCAAATAACAGCAACTCATTTATGAACGAGCCTTTCCTGCAGTAAATATTAATACCTTCTGCAGTCAGTTGTAAGCAAAATCATTGCACTGAGAATGAAAAGGCAATAAAGAAATGTTTTATCACATATTATTAATCAAAAGCTGCATCTAAGAATTCATATTAGAACAGAATCACACCTGTGCATTACAATTGCCAAAATGGAATGATATCCTTCTATCTGATAAGTACCATCTGAAATGAAGCACATGCTCCAAATTGTACCACGGATGCTGGTACCCAATGTATCCTGACCACTGCTTCCTTCTGTTTTGTTTTCCGATGGATAGGAAATTTTCTGAAATTATGACATGGGAAGATCTTCAAAATCTGAAATAAGTATATACCATATTAGATGGACAAGACTACAAAAACTGGTCTACAGTCTACTTCACAAAATATTTTTCATCAATTTGCAGCAACTGACCTCATAACCAATGTTGCTATCAGAAATCATAGACACATCAAATAGTGCAAATCGATCTTCATATGCACTAACAGCAACAAAACAGCCTCTGTAAAACAAAAAAAAAAAAAACAAACTGAGTCATTCAGTTAAATGATAATGGTGATCGATCTAGCTACACGAAAGGAGATTTAGTAATTCATCCATATCACTGGTAGATTCATTATTAGTTGCTGATGGCTACATAACAAATCCACATTGAGACTAAAATATTGCTAATTCATGAGAAATGTATTCCTTGTACTATTGTAGTGTACAACAACTTTGTTGCATATAACTAAATCTTTTGCTGATTACCAAAACAGGTAAAGTCAAATTCCACCATTGAAATAAACAGAAATAAAACTGATCATTTAAAACGTGGACTATGTACAGGGCAAACCACCAGACAGGCAGCAGTCCCTAACCCAGTTCCATCATGGTTAATGAATATATCAGTTGAAACCCTAAAAAAGGTTTAAACTAGTCTTTTTTCTCTCCTTCTCAGATAACGGTGGACAAAGCTAGCTCATGATTTAAAAGTTCAAAAAGAAATCCAGGGCCTTGATTTCTGGCTCCGGTCTCTTTGGATCATGGGATTTTTTAGTCCCCCTCTTTATAGTGTTAACTATAATCAATAACACCTTCTCTCGTGAAAATAACTCCCATGGATGAGCAACCATCATTCAACAAACTTCTCCACCCACGATGGACTATTGTCCACCATCCACATTCCATGGAGGAAGAAACGAGGAAGGTCATCAGGACTGCTTACCATTAGTAGGTTAAACAGGCAGTTGGGTTTACATTTATTTTGTTACTATATGCATGTCTTATTTCCCCAAATAGTTGGGACTTATGGTTTTGTTGTTGTTATTGTTGTACACATGTTTTATTTGCATTAAAATTCTTGGCACAAAAATGATGAATTCATATTCAGATATTGTCATATACATGTTTTATTTGCATTGAAATTCTTGGCACAAAAATGATGAATTCATATTCAGCTTAGCAACCTTGACCAAGTATAGTGAGACGCTGTAACTTATTAATTGTACCTAGTACAGCATACAGTAATACACCATAGATATATTTAAGTTCAATCAAGCCCAATCCATTTATATACCGCTATTACATGGCCCAACTCTATGTCGAGAATTTTTTCCACGGCAATACAAGAACAACAACAATAAGAAGCTATAATGTAGGGTTCGTAATGTCACAAATTTAATTAATTTTGCATAAGTCATTCAGCACCCTTGCGTGTCCGTCCGCAAAGGGTCAGGTCCCTAAAACCTCTTATGGTCCCTTAAAGACCTGCAAAAGAGAAGACGGGTTAGAGAAAACATTTAACTCGGGATCCCACAAGCAGACATTTCAACAAACACTTATTAGACAATGCAAATTACAAGCATAGACTTCGTAAACTCTAAACAGTCACATTGTTCTACAACAGTGTTATGTGAGCACTTGTGAGGATTTTTTATCGCGACAACCACTTTGGATCTTTTGTCATGCGACTGTTCAAAACTCACATAGTCTATATTTATAATTTGTATTGCTAATAAGTGATTGCTGAAATATTTGCTTGTGAAATCCCGAGTTAAACGTTTCCTCTAGCCCGTCTTCTCTTTTGTGGCTCCTTAAGGGACCATAAGAGATTTCAGGAAAACTGACCCCATGCGGATAAACACACAAGGATTACCGCACAACTTAAGTAAAACCAGCTAAGTCCGTGACAATATGCATGTCAAAGAACAATATGTCAAATGAGAACAAAGTACTTACCTAGGATCAACAGCCAACATTCTTCCTAATTGATGTACCACATTCCCTGGTTTGGATAATTCAATATGTGTCACAGCAAAGAACCTAAATAAAATCAAAGTGAATTGAGTAAATAAAAATTGATAAACAAAAGTCAGGGAACAAACTACGAAGACCATATATAAGAGTAAAGATATATCTAGCAATAAAATTGCATGAGCGACCACCTCAAAAGGACATAGCACTATACCAACCTGTGCATGGTAGAACAAAAGGTAAGAAATGAAAGTTTTCCTGAATCGGAAAGAACAACTAACAAGTCTTTTCCCTGTGCCTGCAAAGCATAAGTATAACTGTAAAACACAAATGCATCTTTGTTCCTAGGACTGATCGAAACAAAATAAATTCGTTCAGTGAAGCTGCAGTGTCATGAAGCAATCAATGATATGCAAGAATTAAGGAGAATAGGGAAGAAGAATAACCTGATGTGCATGTTCTTGGAATCTGTTGTTCCATGGTAGGATGGCAAGGTCCTTTATTGCACCAAAAAGGCTTTGTTCAAATATTGATTGTACAATGCCATCTTCATTGATAGATGCCAACTCCAGTGATGTTTCCTGAGAACAGTGAATGACATTTAACACATCCATAAAATGAGAGGTTCTTAAAACAGAACCACTAATCAGATTAAAACCCACCAATGCCAGTGATCATTTTGAGTATGCAACTTAAATACACTATCTTCATGTCCTTTATGACATTCCAATACACTCTCACATTCATGGTATTCTTAGAAATGCTTTAGGATAACTTCCACTGTCAAAAGACTGACTTACTGGAAGAGAAAAATAAAAAGCTAATGAACCTTGACATTAGTCCTCAAATACTGTAGCTGATGCAGTAAATCCACATTCATTGGTAGCAATTCTTTATGATAATTTTCATCATTAAAAAATGAGCTACTGAACCTTGACATTAGTTCTCAAATACTGTAGCAAACCCAGAAAATTGACAAGTAACAAAAAAATATTGTGAACAAATAAGATTCAAGAAATTGACTATTGATAAGACATAAGATTCAAGAAATTGACTTTCAGTTATTTTGGATACTCGAAAAGAACTTTAGCTTAGATTTATATCTAACAGGCTGCCAAAATATAAACTCTTGAGAGTTCATAGATGACCAAAAGCTGACGACCATATTTTTTTAGCATGAATTTCCTCCATAATCTAACATTTAAGTTCTATCCAGTTTTTTGCAACTGCCAAAGATCTAATGCAATCTATGTAAAGAATGATCTGGGTCATAAGCAGATTGCATCAAGAGTTTAAATAAACAATTTATATACATTGCATTCAACTCCATAGTCGTCTGAAATTAAATGCCTTACATAATTCTGTTATTGCCATTAAAGAAAAATAACAATAAGCAGGCCATATCGAGATTCAGAACTTATAGTAATATATTATAATTTTTTTTTGAAAAAAAATAGATTCAAAACTTATTATTTATCTAGTTCAGTTTAACAGGTTCCAAATCCATCTCAATGTCACAAATAAAAAATGTCTCTTCTACTTTTAAATACCCAACTTCCTTTAGAAAAAATACTTTACTTGCATGTTACTGCACCTAGAGGCTACCGGTTACTCTAAAAAACATGAACAAAGTTTACTTCAGATAGAACCAACAGATGACCCAAAAAGAAGCCAGTGGTTATTTGAGTATAAGGTCATGCCATGTCCGAGTCAAATTAAATAATGAACTACTCAAGCATCACTTGCCTTGAAAATATTATTCAGATTACATGTTAAGGCCTTTTTATTAGTGCACTTAGTTGGAACTTGGAACTTGTGCATAATTGAGTCATTATTTGAGTTGGTTAAGTCGACTCCAAGTCAAGGTTCAAGGATCCTTTATTATAAACTTGCCCTTTATGATAAAGGCTGGCAACCAAAGGAAGATTATGATGATTAATAATTTAAAGGCAGAATGCAACTTAAATTTCTGAAGATGCAAGGAGGGAAATCGAATTGGTCAAAACAGAATGAGGTCTGGTTGAAAACTGATATGGGGAATATTCGTTTTGATCCGAAGTTCAACATGCTACAGCCACATGTACAGAAAAACGACATAAGACCTCAACTGACTACCCCACCATGTCAGCAGAACAGAAAATAGATGATGAATATTCTGTCATGCATAATATTTTCCATAACCCGCAAGAAGCCAAGGAAGAAGCAGCTAAGGTGACAGCAGACAGGGTTAACGACGTCAGACTCTCTTTCTGACATTCATTAAAAGGTGAAGGCGAAGCCCATTCCCAACATCAATCTTCATGCAGGAAGGACGTCTCACGATTGACACCAGTTCAGGAGACCAAGACATTGGGCGAGATCAAAGTTTCTCACGTGGATGGGACTCGAACCAAGTCAGGCTGATCAGCACAAAGGCAACGACCAACGTTAGACCACACCAAAAACCAATAGTGATGAGGCTGCTTTTCAAAAGGAAGGTTGTGGTCTAGGAGCTACTAGTAGAGATTGGAATAAGAAGGCAATATTCACAATTCAGATTAAATTGTAAAGTTATAGCGGGCTAAAAACACAAGTAATTGCTTTGAAATGAAATGAAATTCACTAATTACGTTGGTTTGGATGTGGCTGCATGAATGTGGCAAACAAGATTGGAAAAATGTACAAAAACTTCATCCATCAGTGTAATTGTAAAGTTTACTACTAAAATCTTTGGACAGTAGGGAGGTAAGACATGCAGGCCTAGAGTGTAACAGGAATCACGCACACCTTTTGGTTTGGAACCAACAAGATTACTTTTTTCATAAGGATCTTTACCAAGTATTGAAAACAAATAAAAGATTAAAAATAAAACAATTCCAAGGAAACAAAGGAGGCATGGAACAGCAAATCTGTGAACACGATAACAATCACAAAGCGAGTACCTTCCCGAACACGATGTCCGAGGAATACGGCGAGCGTATGTGTCCCTGGACGGCGTGGAGGATGGCGCTTCCGCGAAGGACGCACTTAGCGAGGTAGTGGACGCCGCGGCTACCCCTGGGCGCCGAACCGAAGTGGCCCCCGCGCGCGGCCGATTCATCCTCTCCCATGCCGACCACCTCGATCTCTCTCTCACACGTCCTAATGGCCGGGAATTGATCGGGAAAATGATCAGGCGGAGGAGAATCTAGGGCTTGTTCGGTGGTCGACAAAGATTGGGGGAGTTGAGTCGCTGAGGGGGAAGAAATAGTCGTGAACGTGGTCGCTCCTTAAGTCGCACCTCCGGTAGTCGTATGGTAAGTCGGCCTGAAGTTACGACACGCGTGGATCACCATAACCCAATGACCCGATCCGAACTCTAAACCCGAAAGATTAGTAGATCCGAATCCGAAGCTTGATAATTATATCCGATGATATGATATATAATTATTTCCTAAAGAACAAAGTCAGCATTGATCGTATGTGGAATATATCATCGAGTCAAGCATCAATAGGGATGTTAGTGTGGGCCTTATAATCCTCATTTTGGATTCATCTCAAAATGTTGGATTTGGATGCCTATCTCGAATCCAAATCCGATCCGGTAGCATCCTTCCTTATATGTCAATCAAGTATTCCATAACTCTTTACGTTTTCGGATTTGGATCCAAAAGTTCAACCCAATAAAACCAGTCTCCCATTTTGGACCCCACCGATATGCATTTAGGAAGGATAATAACTCGCAAATTTAGGTGTTATGCCTATCTATCTATATTAACAAAAATAATATATCAACATGTAGCTTGGAAGAAAAGGATGAGAGAATTATGTGAAAATAGAATATTTCTTATGAAATGACTTGAAATTTGGTGAGTCTTGGAATTTAATAACTTGTTAGTGTTATCAGATATCTTAAAACTTGATACTATTCTTTCTCAATGGTGTCATCTGTTTCAAATTTATCCCTACACTACAGTAAGATATCATACAATTTAACATTCAAAAGAAAAAGGCAGATAATGTGTTTGTGTTTCAAGCACACCTACTGCCTTCCAATTCTAAAAGAATTCCTTAATTTTAGATATTCTTAATTTTTATAATTTTAAATTTTAAATTTTATATTTATTTTTTGATTATGGTAAAAAAATTAAACCTTTTCTAATTATATTAGGAATCATTTGATATAACAAATTAAGGATTGTTATTATTTATTTATTTATTTATTAGAATTTCTAATTCTATTTGATTAAGGATTAAATAATTATATATATATATAATGTATTTGGTTATTTTTTTTAAGCAATCAAATACAACTCAAAACCTTTAGTCATTAGTAGAAAGATCCCTCGTGATGGTATTTGAAGTACTTCAAATGATCAATCATACATCATTGCTAAGGTCATGATTGTTGAGTAAGCAAGGAGAATCTCGTAAAAAACTAAAATGAGAACGATTACAATCCACTATTGGCCCTATACCACCATGAAAAAGGAGAGACAAACAATTCAATCTGTCTTGACCAATGTCAAAACTAACACCATTAAATCTAACATAGAGAAATGTTTGATCGATGAGAACCCCACTTGAAAAAAGAATAAAATCAAGTATTACTATTTCCATCGTGATTACAACCACAATACGAAAGATTATCATGACCTAAAAGAATAAATCAAAGAACTCATACGACAAGGGCACATTGAGTGTGTCATTCATAAACGTCGAGAACTGTCACTCCAACCTTAGGGGTCGATCAAAAGGTAAATAAACGTCATTGTCAGCAATCTAACCTCCAAATAAGACAGCACCTCGAGTCATAAAGAATACGTCTGAACCATTATTGGCAAGCATCCCCGAACTAAAAGTGACTAGCAAATAACTTTCAAAGAAGAAAAGTTTGAATGCCTCAACCCAAACCATGATGATGCTTTAGTAGTTACCATAAGGATAGTTAGCGAGCACATAAAAAGGGTCATGATCAATATAAACAGGGCTCACGAGTGACTCGATCTTCCCTCTTAGAATCACAAGCTTACATATCACTTTTGGAGAGGAACCATGCTTAAAGATAATGAATACCAAGTTCATGGTAGTCAATACCCTCTCGACGTACAATGTCGTTATATGACGACCAATGTTAAACGGACTATAGGCAATTATCTCAACCTATCACATTATGATAAAATTTTCAACCAATATGGGAGTCCGCGAATTCTGATAGTGTTACCTCATAGTTGTCTCCCTATGAGCCGTCGATGTCACGCCAGCGATCGCCCCGGCGAAGCAGCGGCGATCTAGGGCACAGGCGGTAGAGCCCTACGCGAGTCTGCAGGAAGCGGATGAATTAGCCTAATAAACGTACACTCGAGACAGTCACCCTCCTCACGTACCTGCTTGGTGATCGGCCGCTTTAAATGGACCCGCCAAAGGGTCCATGACTAGAGAAAGGCCAAATTACTTAGCTTAATAAATCACTTGAATTATTTTTAACCCGGTTAATTTAATCCTCTTTGACTTGTCTCTCCTGGTCAAACCAACCGACCACTGCCAAAACTGCCCGCCATCCTTTCGCCCCACTCCCTCTTCCGCGTCGAACACCTTGTGCTTCTCTTCCGTGGAGCCGCTCCATATATCTATCTATATGATGGTCGTCTCCGGGTGGTGGAGTGAATTCCATAATCCTTCTTCCTTGCCCCGTTCTCTTCTTCGATCCGTGAACACTTTGTGCTTCTCACTACACGACCAGCATCCAGGATCTGTGCTGCCTCGGCCGCGTATGCGAAGCCCGCAGACTATTCGAAGAAATGCCTCACACAGACACCGTCACCTGGAACTCCGTGATCTTCCGCCACTCCATTTCAATGAGCAACATTCATTTGTTTTAAATCGTGCTGCTCTTTCAGTGGCTCAGCTCATGGTGCATCCTTCTCAGAACTATTTCTCATTTATGTTATAGACTTTTGAATCATGATATATTTTTTATTTATTTGCCTTATAGTATAAAGAATTTTAAAGTGTCATTGAAATATCTATGAATTTGAAGTTCTTGTTTATTTGATCTTTTGACATCCTCTTACAGTTGCTTGATTGTGCAAATTTCTGAAGTCAGATTTTTTAATCAATTTCACACCTATCTCATACACCTATGAGATGTATATCTCTGACTTCCAACTTTCGATATCTGAAAATTATCAATTTTTAACAGCTGCATCAATCCTCTTTTGAGCTCTGGATGTTGATCTTTCCTGTCCCCTCTCCCTGTTGTATCTGCTTTTCCATTCATTTACCATTTGCTGAATCTTTTTTGTTCTTTGACATGGCTAATTCATATAGTTGTCCTTGCCGTCTTTACATAATGATTTAGTTTATAAACGATCAACTCAGAAGTTGGACAGATCACCTGGCATTTCACTTTGATCTCTTTTTCTTTTTTGCAGGGCATTAGTACATCCATATAATATGTTATGGTGGTCAAGTTTAGCAAATGCCAGACCGAGAAGCTTATACCGTGTCTTGTATTCGGAGGCTAAAGGTACCAGCTAGGATGATACTCTATATTGTTTGAAGAAAGGAAGTGAACAATTGCTACTTTAGTGAAAGTAAGCACTTGTGATATGTCTCTAAAAAACCATGAAAAAAAATCAGTGTCTGTCAATCACAAAGAGGAAAAGAAGGATAAGATGAAGCAGCTGAAAGTGCAATCAGTAGGTTGAGGTGGCTCAACTTTTCTGCCGTAGCAATGCAGCAGAAGTCTGGTGGCAAATGACCCATTCTCTGGCCATATTGCAAGTTCATGCCAGCACAAGCACAGAACAATCAGCATCTCCAAAGCAGTCCTTTGTTTGAAACGAGAATATATGGATGCTGTCTTCTTTCTTGTACTGGTAAGTAAATTTTTATACTGGTCTCAAAATATACTTTATCGATAAATTTTATAATCCAATCTTGCAAAGTTTAATATGACTATCAATGAAAGCTCCTTGCAACACTAATGACACAATCTGGTCATTGTGTCATTATGGAAAAGTTTAATATATCGAAAAGTTGATGTTTCTATTTGCATTTGATGATTAGTAGTCCATCTTAAGTGAGATGGATTGCATTTCTACATAACTGACCTCCAATAGGTGCACAATGTACCTGTTGCAGTTGATCAGTAAGCTGCCTGCATGGGTGAAACAGAGCTGCAAGTAAATACTAGATTTCTTTAGTAAACACTATCAATTTTGTATTCCTGTGTTTACTTGAATTTGTAATGTTTTAGAGTTAAAAACCAATCAGATCAGTAGATATCGTCTGACATTTATTAATCTGAGCAAGAATCTTAGCCGGTAAAGATATGGTAAGATCTTGGGATCAAAAAAATCTGAGTAGAAATCAATAAGGGTGCATATAATTAATTGGATACTGCTTGATATTATTTTTTCATTGTTGTTTAATTACTTCAAGAATTGCAAATCAATTAATTGTTTGGTATATTGGTATCATTTGGGTTGGACAAGTTGTCAAAATTAGTTCCAATTGCTAATTTACTTTCTAAGCAAGGTAAATGGTGGTTGAATTGACTTGGCTTTGATGTAATCTTATGGATTAGGGCTTAACTAAAAAGGGTAGAGTGATCCTTATTTTTAGACCAAGAAGCTTATCGGATTCAGTTGGATCCGAATCCGATATAACATGTATATTTAACAAAGAGGAGCGGAAATCCGTATGCAATCCAAATAGAAAGAAGGGCAAATAAATAAAAAGACGGAAAAAGGGAAAGCCGACAGCGAAGAGGTGGCAATTTCCCCCCTTCTTCGTCTTCCGCTTCCCATTCGCGCTCTCGATTTCCATGGCCGGATCGTCTCTACGCCTCCTCGAGCTCCACCTCCTCATCGCCGTCGCTTCCCTCACCTTCCCCCGATCCCTGGCGGCCGTCGTGCCGCCTCTCTGCCCTCGCTCGGGCATCGCCTTCCTCGACGACCTCGGATGTCAGTGCTCTCGTTGGATTGAGCTGTCTTCGCCTCAGGAGGTACGATTCTTTGCCATACAATAGCCTAGTTCCTCATCCGCTTTTCTCTCTGGTTGTTATGATCATGATCCTCATCCTCATCATTATCTAAAGGTAGGAGCTTTTTTGTCGTACGTTGCTGTTCGTTTGGGGGCCTGGGTCGGGTTAAGAGATTCGTTGGGTTTTGGATTATCTGTGAAAATCGATTCCCTCGTAATCGTTTATCTGATTTGAAGTATTGACTTTTTTTGGCTTCTCGTGTGTGATGGTGTGGAAATTCGGTGATTGGTGGTTATTGTTTTTTGCTTTAGTTTGGTGGATGTCCTTGTGGTATCTCTTGCTTTTCAATCTTATGGTTGTTCATTTTCTCGTTGTCGTATCTTTTTATTTTGCATTTTAAAGAAATTTACTGTACATGAACCATAGAATAGGCAAAGAATTATGATATGTGATGCTCTAAATTATGTTTAGTTACTGAACCTTGAAGGCCATTTCTTTGGTTTGTTTGAGAAGGTTTCTGTAGTCTTATCTCCTTATTTTGAGAAAAAAAGAACTGGTGCATAATTGTAATACATTCAAGAAGTAGAGACTGAGGAAGGGAATAACAAGGATTGTAAAGTGCGAATTTGAGCTACAAAGTGGCTTGTTTCTTGATATGATAAGCAGGCCAGTAATAGCAGCTGAAAGAATTTAATAAAACATTTTCCAAAAGAAGAGGTGTTGCTCACAATATTCTATTGTGCTCTATTGTTCTTTCCATTTCTTAATGTATATGCTTAATTAATTTTTGTTTCTTTTTAATCTCTATTTGACAAATACATGTTCAAATAAGATGAGAGAATATTTTTAGTATCATCTCATCATTGTATACCATTTAGAAAATTGCTATATTAGATAATTGTTAGACCAGGTATACTTCATATATCAGAATTTTGGTAGTTAAATATCATTGAGATTGAGATGAGGATGTTGAGAACTTTAGATGGACACATGGGGTTACTAGAAAATAGATTCAATTGAGTGTAAACAAGGAAAAACCAAGTAAGGTGCTGCGTACATGTTCAAATAAGATTATCGAATATAGATGCATTGGTTAAATAAGAAAAGTCAATCAGGATTAGTGATGCAAGGAGAGGTAAAAATAGACTTAAGAAAACTTAATTAGAAACAATAAAAAAATATTTACTATGGCTTAATGGCGTAGAACAAATCCATGTAGTCAGCCATAGTTAGATGGGATCTAATGTCTTGTTGTTGGCTATCATTGTTAATTTGTCAGATAAATGTATTTTTTATGAAAATTTCACCTAGGTATAACTGCATCTAATCTCCAGTAACAATGACTTGCATGTGGTTGTAAATTACGGGGTGCCGGTAAATCTGATTTTGTTCTATTCATTTTGAAGGTGAGTGGAGAGATGCTTGAAAGAGAGCTTTCTAATGATCAAAGTGCTTATTACTCTGTCCTCTTCTACGCATCATGGTGCCAATTCTCATCCGACATTCAGCCTATCTTTGATGCTCTTAGTTATATGTTTCCTCAAATAAAACATTTATTAGTTGAAGAATCATCAGTCATGCCAAGGTATGCAGTATCAAGTATGCAGGTTCATTTGTGTTTCATAAAGATATTTATCCATCCTTTACAGACCTTGCTATTTTCATTTATTAATTTTTTTCACTTGCGAGACAGTGTCCTCTCGAGAAATGGCATTCACAGTTTTCCAGCTATAATGCTGTTTAATGGGACAACAAGGTTTCGGTATCGTGGCTCAAAGGATTTTACTTCCCTGGTCCATTTCTACAAGAGAAGTACAGGTACATTGCTTTGTCTACATTCTAGAACTATTTTCATTGTTTGAGTAGTGGACATCAATGTCCATCATCCAGTTTCTGCTGAAACCTCTGATGCCTATGAGAGAGCCAATCCTTCTGATAACAACTTAAACTTCTCCTTTTATTGAGTTTAGGTTTTGAGTCTTGCCTCCTGCAGCATAGTACTTACCTAGACCATATATTAGATCGTGTGCCGGATCTGAAAGGTGGACAAAGAAATATGAAATGTTAATTATACATGTAACTGTTTCCTAGTGTCTTCATTATGTAGCTGTAGCACGCTTTATCTCAGCTTTTCCGCTTTATCTTCAGCTTTTCTTGTACAGGTTTGGATCCAATAACATATCTGGAAATTCATCAGTCCAGTTCAGGAAATGCGAGGACCGTTATAGTTCAGGTTGAGTCCATATGGGAGTTGATAACCAAGGAATCTTACTTAACATTTGCCATACTTTTCATCTGTCTGAAGATAATTATGTGCTTCTTTCCTTTGATCTACCTTCGCTTCAAATCTTTCTGGGTCTCACATGTCTGGCCTGTGAACTTAAGGATCCTTCATGAATCAAGCCTGCTATTGGAGAAAGTACTGCAGGTAGTTGACATAAAAAGGATGTGGAGCAATATTCAACTCTCCAACAAGACAAGGAACTTTCAAAAAGGGGCAAATAATGCCCGGGTTTGGGCATCTTCCCTTACGAGACTGAACGAGTCATCTTCCTCAAGATTAGCCCTTAAGGACTCGTAGTTTTCTCTTATATCGATCAATGTACACCCACCATACCTTTCATGGAGCAACACTAGTTATTTCTCTTTTTGTTCTTGCTGTAGGCACATGGAAAGCAAATCACGTGTAGATTTTGAGTACTAAATCATTTTGTATATTGGATACTGTGGCTGCATTTTTAGCATAATGCAAAGTCCATGGGTGTTCATCTTTATCTTTCCATGTGTAAACTCTTTTTCATGTATGAATAGTTCTATTCAACCATACGATCTCCCATAGTCAACTTAGCTTTTGGTTCAGCTGATCTTTCTCATCTTCCATGACTTCTTGAGACATCTTTAAAGAGTATGCTGCAAATCAGTTTCAACTCGAGGGATATCTTGAGCAGTGTCTCTTCGGAGAGAAATTAGGGTTTGTTGAAAATAAATCTATTTGGAGAGAAGGCAGCAGTATCATTTTCCTGCCTACCCTGAGTCATTGTCAGGAAACAGCACAAGAATACACTCTAAACCAACCATTGCAATTAGCTTTGTACAAAAAAACAAACTACATATTTTTTAATTACTTTTATTGAAGTTTTTTTTTTTTTTCCGCACCACTAATACCAATTGATTAATCTTGCCTAATTACAATCTATTTCTTTATATATGTTTATATCATCTTAAACAATCATCTTCCGTTTTAGCCTTTACCAAAATAATTTTTTTATTTTTTCTAGTAATTTCTTACCTTTACTTCAATATTTTTTTTATCTCAATTACGTATCTTTTTCTCGTAGAAGCACAGTATAAAGCTGCCCCCAACCAAAAAGATAAGAGACTGCAGAATCCATAGCTGGCCATATTTTTCAGTCTAGGAATCATCTTGGACTCCATTTCTTGACTGCACCAATGAATGCCACCATTTCGTAGTGTTGGTTATGGAGTCATTGGGGTCATCGACTGCACCAATATTTGTCTTAGAATATGGATGCAATAATTGGAGCAAGAAATATGCTCACGAGCTGCAGCATTGGTGGGATCATGTCATAATTGAGAGTCCATGTGACAAAGCCATGGACAGGCGGACACTTTCCAGCTCCCACAATTTGGACTTTTTCTCGTTGCAGTGATTGCACTGTCGAGCGCTGCTGCTGCTGTTCATATAGAACTTCTATTTGCATCTCCATGAAGCTTACAAAGTTTGTTTAGATTGGCAACAATGGTCATTCATGTGCCAACTTTTGATAGAAACAAATCAGATGTTAAAATCATATTTGTGATAAGCATACAAAGAAGAGTTCTTTTCTGTTTCCTGCAATTGCAATAGAAAGAATGGATCACGTTATGATAAGCAGCATGAAAATGATACAACGCCGTCCACCACTCACATACGGTCGGTCATACGAACACCGCGCTCTCCCCCTTCCACCAATGCGCGCACACACAACAACAACAACAACAACGATCAAATCGAAAGGGAAGAATCAACAAATAGATTACAGCAAAGAAGGTGAGCACGTAGCTCAACAGAAGAGATAGCCAAAGGCGAGGGCAGCCACCGAGGCTAGGGCCGCGGCGGCGGTCGACGGGGCGGGGGCGCTTGAGGTGGGGCTGGGGGCGGGCGCCTCGGCCGCGGCGGACTGCTGCACCATGGAAGAGGCCATCAGCACGGCCATCATGGCCATGGCGAACAGCTTGAGCCTGAGAGATGCCTCCATTGCTAGTAGCACGACAAACAAAGGAGGAAGAGGAGGAGGAGGAGGAGGAGGAGATGCGTAGAGGATGCAACTGAGAGGGAGAGGAGGAGGAGGAGGAGGAGGAGGAGGAGAAGGGGGGTTTTGTAAGGAGAATGGGAAGCTTGGACTTGGACAGAAACAGGCTGGATTCACTGGTGTCTTCTTCCTTTACCATGTGTTTGGTCAGCTCAAGTGTCCCGACAAGGATGGTGGGTAGGGCTTTTGTCCTTTGATCGAGGAAGATGGGTTGTCTGCAGGTTTGGTGCCAAACTCTAGCTGGAATGGCATCTGCATGGCCCATGCTGTAGCTGTCCACACTCTGTCACAGCTTACGACCAATTGTTGTTTCTCTTTCTTCCGCACTGATTGCCATCGGAGGAGTCTGAAAGACGACAGTCAATGTGAGTTGATGCATGTCTGCAATTATATTGGGATGCATGATCATAATCACCTTTGCTCAAATTGCTATTTCCTAATTTATTTTTCTTTCTTTTATATTCTCTCTCTCTCTCTCTCTCTCTCTCTCTCTCTCTCTCTTGCCTGTCATCTACTGCACTTTATTTATACCCCTATAAAAGCAACAACAATCTCAGCCATGCGAACTGCTTCATCTTCTCCATGGATGCTGAAGGTTCTTTAGAATATTCTAGCCTGTTATTTGGAAATAGAAGATGGTTCTAATAGTAAGAAAGAAGTGGCGTGAAATGAAATATTTCTTTTTGATTGCTTCAAAATTGACCAAAAAAAAAAGTCACCTCAAATCATTTTCTTCTTTGGTGCCATTACAATTAGTAATCTTGTCCTAAGAACACTTTCAAGGCTGATAGAAGGGGTTTGTTCTTATATTTCCACATGGATGCAGCCACAGTGAGGATTACACAGAAAAAAAAGACCATTAGGTGTCTATAATGGTTGGGACTTCAAAAGTGTGGATTAGTGCAAGAAAGAACTCAGTACCAAAAGATGTATGCTACTCTCATGTATAGATGATCATCATGGGATTTCACTTTTTACTGTTTGTATATGATGGAAGGAATATTACCGATTAATTATCATGATAGTTAAATTAACAAAGGAGAGATAAGACTTACCCCTTGGTGTGCTTGAGTGGACATAAGTCCAAAGCAACCGATCACGCATCGCCTCCTCTCTTTTTTACTGGACAAAAGTGCTAAAAAGATCGTTAGGGGCTATCCATTCAAGAAATATTCTTTCAAATATTTTACTCTATATTTACTAGGTATAAAAATCGTATCTCTTATAAAATCTTAGGATTAACTTTGGCGTCGAAGGGATCGACTTAGGAAACCTTTTAACTTTGGTCTTCATGCATATCATCGTCGAAAAACCTAAGTGCACCTATACTGATTTCTGCAAGACCTCTAGTGTCACATCAGTGGTACCTCATCGTTCCTATGCATGTGTAGTTGAACCGTATTAGACTGACATAAATATCAATAATATTTTTCATAATATTTTGATACTAGAAGGAGGGTCATGTCATAAGAACATTAGTTCGTCGACCTACTCAACGAGTGTTCAAACGAAGAAGCTCTATCCTGACTCACAATACCTTCACTCATGAGGGTAATAGCCAACATTTATGAACTATAATATTTTTACCTTAGCGTAGACTTTGATGGCGACTAGTGTTTGTTCAACAATCTAAGCCTCTCCTCCAATGATGACCTCGAACCACATGCTCATCCTCGTCAAGGTCATCCTAAATCTCACTTAATAAGTGTAAATATTGATGGGAATGATATAGATCATTGCCTTGCTCTTACCTTATTTGGTCCAATTCGTAGTGCCTCCAGCCCCATCGTAGTATGCAAGAATATCGATACTCATCGAGATTCCCCAACCTAACATGGCATTAACCCCCAAAGAATTCTCGAGGTCTGTTGAGCACCCGACATGGGAGCACTATAATCTCCGACTATAGAGTTTAGCGAATCTCACCATTCTTGGTTTGCCTTGCTCGAGTATTAGGTATAGTCTACAAACTATACGAAGAGCACCCTTCATGTGTAAGTGCAACAGATGGACTAGTGCTTGGAGGATATGCTTCGGGAGTTTCAACTATCCAAGGGAGAAGACTTATCCAACCTTAATTCAGGTTAGCTACCATTCATTCAGAAGACCCAAGAAGAGCATATCCCTGCTAACTTTCGACTCCCAGCCTTGGAGGCATTTGATGGTTATGCTGACTTAACCAAGTACATCACAACCTTCTATGCTCAGATGTCCTTATGTGGCATGACAGACACTTTGATGTATCGCACCTTCCCTATCGCACTGTGAGACCTAGCATGAGAGTTGTATGCCCGCTTGAAGCCACTCTCGATTAGCTCATTTGGCTAATTAACAAAAGAGTTAAAGTAATATTTTGTTGAGAATGTATGCCCTCGACATTCAATAACACTCCTGGGACTTCAGTAAGGGGAGAAACATACGCTCTTGGATTTCATCGTCCAATTCATAAATAAAATCCGAGGCATAGCCGACACTTATCCGTTGCTCCTCATATTGACCTTTAGACCCTCTTAACTCTTCTGGTTGCTGAAAAAGATATCATCGATGATAGTATCTAAGACACTCCAAAGAGCCAACCAATGCATCATTGTTGAGGCGATGGTCTTGAGTAAGCATGATGAGTTGTGCCAGAGGCCAAAGTACGAGTAGCCATCGCCTAAATATCTCACCCAAGGAAAGTCAAGTAGAGGCCTTAGAAGTTTACTTCTAAACACCAATAAGCTATCAACGATGAGGCAGATAAATGGTTAGGTGCATTGATTATATCTAATGGAAGTGGTTCGCCAACATTGTATTTGTTAAAAAAAATTAATAGAACCTAATAGATATGTATTAATTATATCGATTTCAACAAAGTATGCTTTAGAGGTGAGCATCTCAATGACATTGATGTTCCCCCTATAAGCATGAGTGTTTGAATATATTAGATGCACTCTCTTGAGGGGTGAGCATCTTAATAGCACAGACGTGCCTCTACAAGGGTGAACATCCAAAGATGTTCAATGTGTCCTCCTTAAAAATGAGCATCTCAATAACACCAATGCATCCCTATGGGAGTCAGCATCCGAATATGCTCGATGCACCTTCCTCGGGAGTGAGTATCTCAATAACACCGATGCAACCTACCGGGGGAGGATAAAAAAAAAACACACACACACAAGGAATCCTTAAGGGTGAGCATATCAAGATGCATCCCACAAGAGTGAGTGTCACTTAATGGCATAAGACATATCTTGAGATATCTCCACCTTGCCAAACTCCTGAGGTGCGTAAGTTAACTAAGACCGACTTGACCTTCTCGGAGAACTTGAGGTACATAGGTTGGTCAAGTCCAACCTAACCTCCTTAGAGAGCCAAGGTGAACCCGATGTGCGTAAGTTAACCAAGTCCAACCTGACCTCCACGGAGAGCTCGAGGTGGGTTCGAGATGTGTAGGTCAACCAAGTTTGACCCAACATCCTCAAAGAGCCTTAGGTAAAACTAAAATGTGTAGGTTAGTCAAGTTCGAATTGACCTCCTTGGAAAACCTGAGGTGGGCCCAACATTTGTAGGTCAACCAAGCTCGATCCAATCTCCTCAAAGTGCTTAAAGTCTCGAGGTGTATAGGTTGGCCATGCCCAACCCGATCTCCTTAGAGAGCTCGAGGTGAGCCTAAGGTGCATAGGTCAGCCAAGCCCAACTCAACCTCCTCAGAAAGCCCAAGGAGGCATGAGGTGCGTAGGTTGGCTAAGCTCGACCTGACCTTATCGGAGAACCCGAGGTGCGTAGTTTGGCCAAGCAACCAGACCCCCTCGAAGAGCCTGATATGTATAGGTTGACCAAGCCCAACTTGACCTCCTCGGAGAGCCCGAGGTGCGTAGATTCGTCAAACTTGATTTGACCTTCCTAGATAGTCTGAGACATGTAAGTCAATCATATATTGAATATCCTTTCATTTTTACGTGACACATGTGTTGAGATGGTCCATGGGTGCATTTCTGAACCTCTCAAAGAGAGTTCCTGAAGTACACCATCGAACAAACAAATGATAGAGGAAATATTGTTAACCAATTATCATCTGACACATGACCTACATGTGATAATTAATTTGGCATAGAAGACATAAGACATACCTTTTTGGTTTGCTCACATTCACGTAAGTCGAAAACAAATAATTATGGATTATATCCCCTCTTTTTATTGTTTACAAAGGTAAGACTCCAAAAAGACTATAGCGGCTATCCCTTTAGACAATATTTCTTAGAATATTATGCTCATTTTTTATTCGATATAAAAATCTATCTCGAGCACAAGAATTAAAGTCGATCACTCTTTTACCACTTGCATCTCACCTCATCTCACCTCACCTCCGGACTAAATTGGACGTAAGAGGGATTAGTCGAAAACTCACTTTTGACCTTAGTATTCATGTAGGTTATTATTAGAATAATTAAGTGCCCATATTGAGTGTTCCTTCAATAATACCTCATCATTTTTACTTATGTATGGTCAAACCATATCGAGGTCAACACAGAACCATCAGCAACAGTCATTACTTGTAAACATATAAATTGAAGAGAGAGAAAGAAAGAGAGAATATATACAATCTGTTCTGTTACTTGCAAGATTTTTCAGATAAAATTATTCCACAGAAGTATGCCAAAGAGACATGCATGGATGCTAATAAGGACTAATTTATCGATTTATAGTACCTTAATTTAAAATTTGATAAATGTATTACTCAAATATTTTAGGTTACTAATTCAGTTTCAATAAGATAATAGATTAATTATCTCATCCGGTCAAATAATAACTAGATTAGTCTTTTTGAAGATTTGACAATTGGTGAAGACAGGACAAAGGCATCAGCATTAAGTTTTAATGAAGTTGTTTCTCTTTTACCTTTTATTTTTTTTTTCCTAAAGTATCTTTTGAGGCTAATCATTGTATTGTGTTATCTTTTTGGGCTAATCATTGCATTGTGTGGCAACAGTAGAGTCTTAAAGCATATTTTACTTTGCTTTGTGGAAGGCTTTCAAAAAGGTTTTATAAATACTTCCATGTGTTGTTTCCTCCATCTTTTCAGCATCATAACACAGTCAGGTGCAGTTGTCTCATCTTCCCTTTGTCCAATACTTAGCAGCTTGGAGCAGATTCATGGAACTCAAGCCAAGCTGCAGATTCAGACACAGAGTTCTACATTCATTTTGTTTCTGAGTTACAGTAGTCTGGATTTGTTTTAGGCCAATTACTATGCCAGAATCCATTGCAAGCATGTTGTAGTAGCAATACTACTTTGGCATTAGTAGAAGCTTTTTGTTCTTTGAAGTTGAATTGGGTCAAGAATATAAATTCTCTAAAAGATCAAGAATGTGGATACATGTAGATTAGTTGCTGCTTGTATACTAAATTCTTGGCTTTTCTTGTCCAATTTGAGATGCATGATTGGCACCATCATTAAGCATGCACTTTGAGCATATACTGTCTGTTTGTGTTTCTTAAGCTCACACATCAAGATCAATGTTTATGTTTTTAGGTCTTTGTTCTGATCAATTACTTGGCTCTGATTCATCTTATTCTCCTGTATACAAAGAACATAGGATCCAAAAGGCAACAGTTCACAGCAATGGAACCTCTGCAAACATGAGAGGTCAGTAGATATTGTCAATTCATGCAATAACATGAACTTATTGGATTCATTTCGCATGCCACTTTTACTGACAAGCTTCTGTGGAGAGCTTCTTCAATGCAATCATTCAAGTGCTGATGGCTGATGAAGAACACAGGAATCCTCTGCCAACTTTTTTTCTCACACTTGGGTCACACCATGATTGATTTCTGATCCACCATCTTCTCCATTTCCACAGAATCTTTTGGATTTGAGAGTTATTAATTCTTTGTTCTCACTTTAGTTCAAAGTTTGAATCAAGTTTTCTCCATCAAAGCTAGCTATGGAACAAAAAGATAAAAGAGTTTGGTGGTGGGGGAGCAAAGGAGATGAAGGAAGCCATTAGAGTGACTCCAATTGACTGCAGTAAAGGTGGTGTTGCAGTTTGAAGCTGTGTCAGCTTCTTCACATGCACAGCATCTCTCTAAAGCTCCAAAGATCTTTATTCCATGGCGTCTTCCTTTACAACTATCCACCACCATACCATCTCACAATTGTTTGCATTGGGGTCCCAATCTCCATGCTGCCAATAGCAAAATTCCAATGTGCTTGAGGTCCTCCTCTAACCAATCAATGCACACACAGGTCCATTCACTATCATCTTAGAACTGAACAAGGGACTCAGAGGAGAAAATTACAAATCCAACAAAAGAAACAGATGACAAGAAGAAGACTACCACAAGCCCACAAGCTTGTTCCTCTCAAGAAACCTCACCTCTCTCTCTCTCTCTCTCCACACTTCCATGGAAAGAAGGACAAGAAACATAGGGAGCTAAAACACTGATCAAGAGAAGCATCAAGCATTTGCACAACAACCTTCTATGAGTTAAGGAAGGAGGAAAACAGAGAGGAGTTCCTATGGACAATTGGAGTTCCTACCAGGACCTCCATAGTAGAAGTAGTGCCCCCACTGACCACCATTGCCAATCTGCACATCATAGCAGCTGGATTGCTCAGTGAAGGTGCCAACCCCTGTGGGTGTCCTCAGCTTGTTGGAGTCATCTACTATCTGGATGTTCCTGAAGTAGCTGGCCTTGCCAAATCCTTCTCCAGGGAAGTGGCCACTGCCCATGGCAGTGGAAGTGTGCTCACCATCTGGTTCCGAGTTCACGACCTCTCCTCCCCACTCTATCATGGAGGCACTGTCTGCCAGGTAGGAGAAGAGGAAAGAAGGCCAGTAACCTAGCACATAGTCATTCCCAAACTGCATCCACCAATGCCCTTCCCTTGGATCCTGCTCAAATCATAAAAACCCTTGCCATTACTAAAAGGACTAGTGAACCTAAAGGCACAAAAGGCTGCAGCAATTCTCTGCTGCTTTCTGCATCAATTGCATGAGTTTTGTCTTCACCTTCCAAACAAGTATACTGATATCATATTGGGAACCACCATATCTAGAAATGGGGTAGATTGTGGCACCCATTGCAATCTCACTGCTGATCTGAATGAACCCAGAGCAGAGCAAGTTGTAGCAGCCAGTTGCTTGATAAGAATCACTCTAAAGTTTGACAGAGGAAATATATATTAGCAGCTATCTAACTGCAAAAGCAGTAATAAGAAGCACAATCTTACGAGGTAGGATGAGGAGGTAGTAAGAACAGTGGCAACTTACAGTCCAGTAAGTGAACAATCTTGTGTTATTATCCCCATACAGATCTGGACTCACCTGATTTTTAGCATACCAAGAGAAATTAGTGCCTGAGGATGTGTTTTTTGAGTTGCACAGAATCAAAATTTACTGCATGTTTAATGGAAGTACGACAGAAGAACACCTGCCAACCAGCTTCAATGCTGTTGAGGTCCTCCCCAAAGGATCCCCCCAGGATCCAGAGCTGAGAGAGACTGAATTCATTTGCCTGCTGAATCTTGGGTTCCCACACATTAATGGTGGCCTTGGCTCCATAGTATGTATCCCCCTCTACATAACCAATTGCATGCTACTCACAAAGACCCAAAAGAGAGCAGATGAGAAAGGGGTTGTGAAAGCTAGGAAGCAGCAGTGGTGGTAGTAGTAGCAGAACCAGTGTTTCTCCCTCTTCTTCACCCACCGTACCTGATGGCCACTCTCACTGAGAAGGTCAGGGTCAACAGACAGTGGATTTGGGATGCTCTTGTGCTTCTTCGTCCCATACTTCCTGATGGAGCTGGCCTTCAGCACATCCTTCCTCCTTGTCCTCCTGATGGGGATGGTGTTCTTAGGGCATCTCCCATGCTGATGCCACAGCTGAGACAGGGGAGGAGTTCTCTTCTGTGAGGCAACCTTGTTCTCACCAAACTGCAGGCCTTCTGGGTGAAAAGCTGGCCTCATCTGATGAACTTGAATTCATAAGTATGAGCTGAGAGAGGCTAAATTGGGGAGAGAGAGAGAGAGAGAGACCTGGATTGTGTGGTTCTTGAGGGAAGGGTGATCAAAGGCTGGCTGGTGAGAGATGTGCACACAGTCTATGATATCTCCATCTGGGCTCTGCATATGATTTCCGATCAATTTTAGTTTTCCTGACAACAGTGATAACCATAAGATGAACCATTCTAGTGTTCAGTGGCCAACTAAAGAGGGAATGAAGACATTGTAAGAAGAGGAGGAAGAAGAAGCCATACCATGCAAGAATGACAAGAAAACCTAAAAGAGCTGAGATTTACAATGCATCTGAAGAAAATTTAGTTACAGAACTGGACTCTTGAAGTGAAATTGATGCTGCATTTCTCCCAAGGTGTTGGATTTGCCATTAAAATCAAGAAAAAAACACAGAATTCCTTGGATGAGCAGCCAAGACCGAGCTTCTCGGGCATTATTGTTCTTCAAGCAACTTAATGTGGAAGGAAACGCATGAAAGAAGGGAGAAAGGAGCGACCTTGATGCTCCTGACAGCCCGCTTGTTGAGCCTCCTGAGGTGGCGCTGCACCTCCAGCCTCCGCTTCACCGGCACCTGTCCTCTCCCGGCCTCGGCACACGATAAGCAGAGCGCCATGGTCAGCAGCAGCCACACCACCCACCGCCTCGAGCTAACGTCCGCGGCCATCTCTCTCTCTCTCTCTCTCTCTCTCTCTCTCTCTGATCTCTTAATTTGACTGTTTTCAAAGTCTCACCGCCATTTCTACTCCTTCCTTTTCTACCATTGTCTGTCTTCCATCTCTCTCCTCTGCTTCCTGATGACTTATGTGTCTAATTGTATTCCTTCTCTCTCCGTAAGTGAAGTGGAGTCGAGTGAAGCAGCGCTGACGACCAGAAAAGAGGCGCATGCGTCTCTCTCTCTCTCTCTCAAGTGTCGAATGCGCTAATATATTGTTCACTGTCGTCTTCTTCTTCTTCTTCCCAGTGGTGGGGGCGATGTAACTGGAGTTCCGCTCTCTCTCTCTCTCTCTGTGCGCTCGCCTTTTCCCCTTCCTTCAAACTCTTTTTTACTTCTCCCAACGACGGCTGCTTCCCCTCTCCTCCGTCTCACTGCGACGCCACCTCGTATTCGTATCCCAACATCGACCCCATGCCTGCCGTCAGTGCAACACGCGTCCGGTCAAGGTGGACGCTGCTGCAGTGATGGGCGGTTCTCTTGTTTCCGAACTGCATGGTTGTGCGGGATCTGACGCGCACGAATTCTGATGCCCGCTGCCACCAGAATTAAAGGAAGAAGAAAGGCGGAGAAGGCGTTCGATCGATGAGATGTTTGTGCGTGCAGCAGATCATATTCTTTTACTCCACATCATGTCTCCATGCTCTCATTCTCCGTGTCACAAACGTGTTCTCTGAACGATGCAGTTGAACAGCACATGTTCATCGTCAAGCCAAGTCACACACAGTGATTGATACCAGACAAAGCTGGTGGTGTCCTGCGCTATAAATTCTCACACATGGCTCCTCGGCAGACTTCCATGGCCGTGTGCGCTTTGACCATGGGATGCTGGAAGAGCTTCTCCATTATTGATGTCCATGTTACCTTCTACATGATTGCCTTCAAAACATGAGCTGCAACGCAGATTAATGACAGCATGTTGTACTTGAGCCAAAGCTGTGATGTCATGGAATGTAATCTCCCACACAGGGAACCTTCTCATGACTGCTGTTCTTGGCGAAAACAGAGCACAAGGAAATAATTGCTGCAAGCTTGTAGGTAACTTTGGGTTTCACTCTCCTCTGTTGATAGAGTTGGTTCTGATAATATTAACACATGCAAATGGTTGAAAGCTTAGAGGTTGAGTGGGTTATATTGTGGCATTGTTGGTGTAGTCGTCGTTACCTCTACTGCTTTGGACTGTGGAGGGTAATGTTGTGTCTGCTTCATGCAACATAGGTTGGGCCACTCTCCACCATTATTACTTTCAATGGAGCCACTAAAAAGATTCTCATCTTTGATCTCTTCCAACGCTTTTGTTCCTCATTTCAATTTGTTTCAAGATATGATTCACTTGGTACAAATAATTGAAAGGAAAAGGTGATTCTTTTAGCATATCAAACCTGGCACTCACAAGTCCCCACCTATACTTTATTGCTCCATCCCTTTTTTCTGTCATGGATGGTAGTATGAAAGCTAGGAAAGCTCCTTTTTGCAAGGAGATGAGGAGGAGGATCTTATCACATTTCATCCATTCATTTTCTGTTTCCCCTTTACTTCTAATAGTGCATTCTATCTACCATATTAGACTTTTGTCATTGATGAATTCATCAGCACTACTAGTGTGGGAACCTTGTGAGTGTCAACCATGATATTGCTGAACCAAGTATCCCTAGCCACATTATTATATTATCTGAACAGAGCTACATTTAGCAGTCTGAATAGTATCCTCATCATAATAGAGGGATTTGGATTAGTGGTTTGATTATATGCTGTCCTAATTCATGGTACTTCTAAACTTGTTTTTTTTTTTAACTTCAATGTTATATATGGGATTCACATAATTTCATTGAATTTTTTTATTATATTAAGGTTTTCATGCTTGTTTTACACTGTTTTATGAGCTTTATGGACTTCATATTGATTCATTTGATTTTGTACCAATTGTGGATTAGGATGAGCTTCTATTAGGTTTTCCCTACAGTTAAAGTAAGGTGAGTTGTTAGCAATGCAGGGTTTAACTCAGAATATGAAAATTAAGATGCATGTGGAACTCATACAGATAGAGAACTAAGATGATAAAATCTATGCTGCAGCAATCATGAATGTAAATATGGAGATGTATACTTGTTGGCATACCTTCTTTCTTTGCAGCATCACCTTCAGGATTAAATTGATGGTGATGAGGTAACTGCAGCTAAAACACATCCTAGATATGTGGATTAGACCTACATGAATCAAGGTGTATATCACCCAAGGTGTTGGTGGCATGATGAAACCAAGTAGCAAAACATGCATGACTGCAACAAGAATATAACTTGCATGCTTCCCAGATCAGACTGATGGTTCTTGTGTTGTGTCTCCAGATTCTAATGGCTGGAGTGCACCAACACTAGCTAGATGGAAGAGCCAGCTGCATCCACTTACTCATCACTGAATGATTGACTCAACACTATGCTTGCCAACTCTCAGCTGGATCCTGATGAAATAAAAGAATGTTATCTTCACAATACTTCCTTCATCATGCACTATAAACACAAAAAAGAGGTAAACTATATGATATGGCATATTATATTATGCAATAGATTTGCTAGTCCTTGAGGCAATGAGAAAGAGATCTTATTGACAGCCCAAGTTCCTCAAGATGCAACCCCCTACCCAGCACAATGATTGAGTTGGGTTGGACATGCTAAGTTTGAGCCAATCTTACATAGGCTCTGTTTGCAGCATAGAACCTCAAGAGCTGCAGAAACACTTTTAGAGCATCACAGGTCTACTTCTAAGGAATTTGCAAACAACTAAATCTTCTGCACATATATATGATGCTCATAAACTTCTGACTCATTTGGAACAGTGATTCATTAGGTTGCAATTTTCTTGGACCTTCTGTTGAATATTGAATTCATCAGTGCAAGTGAATATATGGCCTGGAAGTATCAGGTTTTTCCCTTCCTCCACCTGCTGAAGAATGATCTGCTGAGTTGCAAACTGTGTGTCACTGTCATGGACACTCGAACGAATAAGTGGTCGCAAACTGTGAATTCATTTCACCCGGTATCTTGAAGTGTCAACTATCCAAACTCTGCAAAGGTATCTGCATTCAACTAGATGATATGAATGCTTAAGCATATTATCTTTTTCTTTTTGAAAATATTTGATTTGGATTCTGTTCTGGCATTACATTCAGAAACTTATCACATGGTAATATATGATCTTTGGTTAGCATAATTCATGTAGATGATTGGACACTGAGCATCAAGAAAATTCTGTGACCAAATCCTGCAGAAGGATTAGTTTATGCTGCATCAATTGCGCACATGATCCATGCATCCAGAATTAAAAGAAGCTTTTGGGAAAAATAAAGTTGGAGAAGAAAGCTTGCGTGACCGATGCCAATTGAAGTGTTTCCTTCCTCATCTTGTAAAGTTTGGTGTGTGGAGGAGTCTTCAAACTGATGTTGAATCCTGCTGCTTAATTTTGACCAAATTATTGGTGTCATTATCCAATGAACAGCCACCTTTTGACAAATGATATGGACCAGAATTAGGATTGAGCTTGCTAAATTTTCTGCATTCTTCTTGCTCTAACTAATCTTGATTATAATTTTAGACCTAAAGGCTAAGAAAGGATGCAGAATCTTCATCTTCTTCCTATGAGCTGTGAACCTGCAAACACTCTGTGGTTTCTATGTTAGAATAGTTCCTACAGCACTTCAATGTGCAACTACTGTGGTTAGTTAATGCCAAAGCAATTAGGCAAACTCACTATCACAGTTAAGGCCTTCTCTTCTTAGATCAGACAACCTCACTGTTCGGTCTCTTTCTTCCAGAGTTTGATGGGAACACATGAACAGTGCGTTTCTAGATTGCCTAACACTTGGCCAAGCCATAAATTGGAAGGAAGAAAAGCACAAGCTAACACCACCCTACCTAACCAAACCACATAGTGAGAGTAGCTTTTTCATTGCTGAACTTTCCACTCTTAAGCTCATGATCTCATCTTTCCTTCCTCTACAGAGAAAACATAGTTGCTGTGATGTATGTGACCTAAACCTTCCATCAGCTCTGTGCATAAACTTACATGACCTAATTCATGTTGATTTTTCTATCAAAACTGACAAAAGATATTGACCTGCCTGTCTGAACTTTGACAATGCATATAAGCTATGCACATCTCAGCATATCTTGAGTGCAACACTGAATCATCACCAGGTAAATTGCAAGAGGCTTGCACTCCTAATTTTCTAATGAGAGATCTGTTGTTGCTGCAGGAGATGCAACTGAAGAAGATTAATCTAATGTAGCTTGTTTAGTTGAAGCATCAGTCTGATACCAGTTTCAGTAATCTATTCGATTGATATCATCGAGTTATACGTTTCCAGCGGTACATAATCGAGCATATCGTCATTAACATCTTTGATTGAAACCTATTAGCCCTACAAGCCTGTGAAGATTTGAGCTCCATTAATTGAAAGCAGATGCCCTTTGTACGGTTCTGTACTACTAACAAAAGCTGAAGACTTTACTCAGCTAATGCTGGCACTTTCATGAGTTAGATTCTAAAGAGGTGGTGAGATCAGAACGACTATAAGATAGTGTTTGATGATAATATAGTATATGAGCATGCACATCAAGACATGTGATCAGCAAACAAGATGGATTGGCTTTTGATGCAGCAGCCTTCATGGAACACATGTTATGATTGCATGCAAGCAGGCAAGAGGAAGTGCTCTTTGTTCCCTCCTCTCTCTATTTATGACAGAGATTCCATGAAGCCTACCTTTCTTCTCTGCTATCCACCCCAGCATCAATTGATGCTTATCACCATATCACAAAGCCCACTTCTGAAACTTCTTGTCACTTTCATCTCATTCAACTGTGAACCTTTTTAACTATCGCTTTCCATCAATTTCCTTATCTCTGTGCAGCATCACATTGTTTAAGACTTCCTTCGACAGCTTCGTTCCTAAACAGCTGTAGATGAGGAGCTGCTTGGCTAAACTGGAACTTGCATGAGTTGGAAAGGAGATAGCATGTGATGATAACTGGGACATACTGAGAGAGACAGCAAGGATGACAGGGGGCTGATGCAAATCTGAATAGTTTCTACCTCTTGATCGGCCATTCATTGGCTGACCTGTGCCAGTCAATGAAGGCCAGCTTCGATCTCCTGTAGAAGGTCAATGAATTGTTCAATTCAATGTTGGCAGTCCACAGAGAATAGTGGATGGATTTCACTGGAAGTACTGGGAATTCATTCAAATCCTAGTTTCAGTAATTGGCTGATTTCTTTGATGATTCAGATGGTTCTGTGATCAGCTTTCAGCAAGCATTATGGACTTAAACAATAGCCGGAGATATAATATGTTTGAAGATTAGGGCCAGTTAAGCTATTTGGAGTAGAACAGAACAGAAAAAGAGTCAACATTGAGCTCCGCATAGCTGTGGTAGAACCATGAAAGTGAACAGAATCAATAAACTCAGTTGAATGTTTCTCATGCCCCTGGGCAAATCTTATGATGTTACATAAGTTAGTATATTGCAGTATGCCTTCCTAAAGATTACAATCTTTGATTGTCCTCTCGCATAAATAAAGTTACATGGACTCATGAAAGGATACACAACAACAGGACATTTCACTTCAGCTCACCAATCATGCACAATAGTTGCAGGCGAACAGCTGAAAGTTCAGCTTAAGTAATATACAATCTGTCAGTGTGGATGTAAAAAATAATGATACATACTAAGCATCCACGGCATCAACAGGGAGCGACTTAGTTCTGGTGAGAGCACTTGGCATGACGGCTCCAGCATAAAAGTTCTTTGCTGCGAAAAAAAGCTCAGTGCAGCCTGTGGAGTTCACCTCACAATTTCTATCCCTTGGTGATTCCAAATTGGTGCATTTTCTCGAGCGAAACCCTGAAGTTACATCAGCAGGAACCATATTAATCATGGTGGCCTTGTCTGTGTCACTTCGAGGGATATGGAATGAATTATGTTTCCCCAAATGGAAGGACTTCATCGTCAAATTTTCATCTGGAAAATGTAAAGGTTTAAGAAGTGAGGAACCTGAAAA